ATTTAATGTACACATATTTTAATAAAGAACTTTATCTCTAAGAACTCAAATGGGTAAATTTACAAATTTACTTAACAATCGTTGCATCAATGTCAAAATTAATTTTTTTTTCCTATTTTTTGTCGAGTAAAGGTTTCAGATTTCACATCCGAAAAATTGAATAACTTTCTTTCTAAATTAAAATCGCTCTTAAACTGTTAAATAAAGAGTTCAAAAAGTGGATCCTTCCACCTTTAAATACGATCGAATGATTTATAGTGTCCATATCTATATGAGAAAAAAATGGCTTATATTCTGTGCAGAACTTTTTACTTAAATACAAATATGTTTTAATTATTCTAATGACAGCCGCCATTTTAAAAGATCTATGGCATTATTTGCTATTAGAATGAAATTTAAAATCAAATTAATAACTTAAAGAAATTCAGCTACTGAGAAATATGAATAGAAGCAGATTTTCTAATTGGCTTTTAATGGTCAAAATATTATTTGGATATAATTGTTAAAATATTTATTTTGATGTAAGTGAAGTCAGTTCTGGTATAATTTGTATTTATTCTCTTAGAAAACATTTAATTAAACTAAAGACGACAATGGATGGAGTGTACATTGATGTCGAAATCGCGACAAACATAATAATAAAATAATAAAACGTTAATAATTGATTGATAGCCTTTTTAAAATGATTCAGAGTTCACTATTTGAGCATTTTTAATGAATAATATTAATAAACAAGCAGTTCGTTATCGAGCATACCAAGGCGTCTTAAAGGCTTTAAGCCAAACTTGCCCATTTCACTAATTGGCCAACTGGCGCAAGAGAGGAAGAAGAAGACCGCCCACTTGCTGCTGCTGGCCCAGTTGTCATGCATAAATAACTTATCAGTGGGTGGCAGTCGACAAGCCGCAAAACTATGAGCATTAGCCTTTAAGTATGCTATATGTGTATATTTTTACTTCTCGCTTCTCCGCCTTTTTCTATAAATTTTGTATAATTTATTCCGGCCACCTTGTTTCCTTGTACATCGCCGATCTAAATGCAAAACTTTTGCATTTTATGCGTTCAGCTCTTAAAGGAAGCCCAGGTGACTGACTCAGCGTATCTGGCGATGGCGCAGCGTTTTGTGGCATGCCACACTGTGTGTGTCGTTGTTGCTGGCTCTGTTGCCTTGAATTTAAAATTCAAAACCACTAAAAGTAACCCGACTCAATAATATGATATGCAACCGCAGCCCAAGCAGCCGAGCCTGTTCAAAAGTTGCGCCAAAAGCTTTCGAGCGTATTGTGTCTTGGGGAGGGGAAAGAAGAAGTATATAGAGAGGGAGTGCGCTTGACGTTGCCATCAAAAGTTTACGCTGTTGCATTGTTGGACATAGTTGCTGCTACCGTTAATGTTTTTTTTTTTTTGTGCTTTTCTGTTTTCTTTTTACGTCCAACCAGCCACCTGCCCAGGTCGGTTGCTCGTCGATGCTCATTGCTATGCAAATTGCTGTATTTTCCTTTTAATTTTATTTTCAAGCGTTTGGGAAGCCACCTGTGTGTGTGTTTTTTTTTTTTAGTATGTTTGGAAGGTGGGTATGTTTTCTATATGAAATATCCATGCCCTTGCCATTCATTACATACGTGTACGCTATGGGCTATTTCTACACTTTGTGTGCACAAGTACTACCCGTATTATAAAATACTCGTGTAGATGTATGGGCTTGGATATGAATTTGGGTCAGTAATGCTATTATATATATATGTATGTGCACAATGGTTGACCGTATGGGACTTGTCGGCAGACCCTCTCATACAGCAAGATTCGGCAAATGAACAACTTTGTATGCGCTACACAATCTCTGAGGTGAAGTGTAATTGCCTCCCTTAACTTGAATTACCTTTTGAATTGTGGCTGATATGCGATTTGAATGATTTCAATACATCATGAGGTATGCGCAACAAATGTGTGGCCAATTTATTCGTGTGTTCCCATCCCGAGCTTCGTATTAACAAAAAAATGGCAAACATTGGATTTTATTGTAATTGATCATTTCTCAAGCTGCACGGGTATTCACTTTTACTTTAAAAGCTTGGGTTTACAATACTAGGAATGCATAATGAAGCATCTCAAAAACGCAAATACTACTTGTATACTATAATTGGCAGCCAATTTCGAGCAACTGTCAACTTTTAAAACTTTAATATAAGCAATCTTTTTTCTATTCTTTACAATTATTTGCCAATGAATGAAGCGTTTGAAAAAAAGTTGTAACTCGAACATAAAGAAAGTCACATTTTAAATTGTTTTCAAATTTTATTAATTTAAAAAAGGGAAAGAAATCTGTTTATTGAAAATTGCAAATGCATGAGCAAATTTTCTTGCCCGTCTAACCCCGTCTTTAAGTCTTTAAAAAACGTTGGCTCCAGCTATTTAACATTTCGAGCTGTAAAGTAAATGTCCTAAGCAGCAAATAAATTACAAATGTGTTTGAAAATAACTTTTTGATAAGAAAGTAAAATTTCTTATGTTGATAGAAATGTTGTTACCAACGTACATAAAGCACTAGACCGACTATCTAAGGTCCTCGTAGATTAAATGAATAAATAGCTGTGTTTTTTTTTAACACATGTATTAAGCTTAAATAGTATTTTCTATCAATAAAAACAGCACTCAGAATAATCATAAATTAAATTAAACAGTATTAAATTTTGTGTTAAAATATTGATAAACAATGAACGCCCTTAAACATATTTAGAATTTTTAAATTGATTTTTGAAAACATAGTTAATAGGCTTACAAACGATTTTTTTATTTATCAGAAACTGATATTCTGTTTTTCATAAACCATTTGTGGATCATTCAATGCCTTAAATGGCTACCAAAAATTGAAGACTATATCTGTTGTTGGTGAACTAATAATCGCTCGAAATATATGATCGATATATAAATTGATAGTTGAATGTGTTGAAAGCAACATTAATATTAATTCATTGATCAATGCCTGCTTGTTTGTTTTGTGTGAGACTCATTATTCAGCCCAACCCTACCATTAGTTGGGGGCTATTTTCTGCCAGTCATGTTACATGAAACTCACTATTTGCAGTCGATTCAACGCTTCTCAATGTGTTTGTCCATAACTGAATAAACATTTCATAGCGAAGCAGACATTGCACTGAATGAGTGCACTGTACAAGCCATTAAAGTTCAATTCTTAGAAGGCAAAACACAATCCGCTTTCGTGGCTGGTCAGCAACTAACCCTGACTGCTCGGTTATAAACACACCAACACACACACAGACAGAGACCGATGGACTGATAGGCAGAGAAGATGGCCATGCCGCTTAAGCTTTGGCTTCAACTCGGCCACTGCCATTGGCCATTGTGGCCATTGTGGATATTGTGGCAACTGTGGCGACTGTGGTGGCTCTGTTGCTGCCGGCGTTTGGCTGACAGGTCGGGCTGCTCACTTGATAGTTTTGCAAAATCAATAGACGCGTAAACATTGTTTAACATAACTGTAATGGATGCATACTTGTGTGAGAGTGTGTGTCGCGTATGTGTGTGTGTGTGTATGTTTGTATTTGTGTGGGTTATTTAATAATAGGCACTGCGACGACAACGTCGACGTTGCCGCCGCCATTGAAATCAAACGGCGGAAGTGGCGCAGGCAATACAACAAAATTAGCATTGAGCTAAGCAAGGCACGGGGTTCAGAGGTTGTTGGTTGAGGGCTTAGCAGCAACCCATCGAAGGGAAATTAAGTCTGCATTGCAGTCCATGCATATACGAGTATGCATTTATGTGGGTGTGTGTATGGCGGATATAATTTTGCTATCAATCAAATCGGAAATTGCAGCTAGAAAATTGACATACGCACACACATTTACACATTGAACCCTTTTCAGCGTGTGCTGACATTAGTGAGCAATTTTTCAAATCACTCATACGCCATGTAAGCGCGTGTGTGCCCGCCAACACAAGGTCACTTGATGACGTTCAAATTTTAATTGTTGATTGATTTTTAAGCCGCAAGGAAATGTGAATGTGCACGCTAATCTAATTGTATGCTTTACTGTGGCTGATCTAATTGCTTTTAAACGTAATTATCATATTTACATAATGTATGTAAATAGCTACAGTAACTATTGATAGAAACAACCGAAAAGGAAAATCGTGTTGCCGTTTAAGCTTTATTCTGAAATGTTAGAAACAAAAACCCCTTATATCTTCTTAGTTTAAAAAGTTTTGCCCTTTTCCGACAGTGAATTGAAAATAACTTTTGAAAATGTCTTGCTGTTTTCCTTTCAAATTATTTGTTGATCAAAATAAGTTAAAGGGTTGTTTTTTGAATCCTAACGTGCCAACATTTCCGTAAAATGATTTTATTAATTTCAATTCTACCCCATCTGTTTTTGAAAAGTTTAATGGCATTTGAAACAACGAAATCACGTGAAAGTGGAAACATTATTGACGAAATACCACCTTTTTTTTGTATTTCGAAAAGTTTGTGCTTCTCATTTGTTAAAGAAAAGGAAAAACTTAGTTTTCCCAATTTTTATTTAACACTTAGTTAAGAGTTAAATTTGTTCGTTGTATTATATTAATTCAAAAGCATATTTCATTTGCGAAATGCCGAAAATGTTTAATATGCTATAAGAAGTAATTTGCCATGACATTTGGTATTCTCTGGTAGGTGCAAGTTTTTTCCTGACTTGCGTTTTTATCGTATCACAATTTTTGGCCAAAACTTTGGCTTCACACGCGAATCATAACAGCCCAGGACGCATTCACAGAGGGAATAGGAGGTGCAAGGCGCAGCCGCCGCGCATTAAGTTGATGAGTTTCAAATTAGGTAAGAAGCGCAACCGGAGCCAACGGCACTAGAAACCAGCAGGCAACAGTCAGCATTGGGGAGTTTGTGGGCGTCCTTTAATGATGAGTACTTGGCATGCAAGGCAAAAGTTTTGCGACTTTTACATCAAAGGGGCGGTGAGAGAAAGCATTTAAGAGCAGTCGTGTAAATCGTTGAAATTCTCGCTTTAATTGAATTTGCATTATAAAGAAAGTGCAAGGGATGGGGAAGTAGATTTGGGAGTGGTAGCTTTGCTGCATGCGCATGCAAATGGCAAGAACACCCTCGACCTGATTTAATGAGCTGCTGAGCTACATACGAGTTAAAAATCTAATTGTTATGGATGGATAACATGCAGCTGGAACAGCTGCTAGGCGATTATTTAGTTGCAGACGGTGAGACCATCGCCCAGGCAGGAGGCATAGGCCATCATATGGGGTATGGTGTTCTGCTCGTAGACTCCGGTGAAGAGATGGGACCAGGGTCCGGAAGCATAGACGGCCACATCATCACCGCCATGTGTATCATCTATTAATGGTACCCCAGCGGGGAACTCATCATTATGGGCACCCACAACACGCGTGGTTGGGTCAACGCGTTCCAACTCTTCGGCAGTATAGAAGTTTGCGGCACTAGGACCATTGGCATAGCTCAATACCATATAGGGTTTGCCATCCTTCGCCGTTACTGGTGCAGTACCAAAGATATCGTTGCCGCGATACTGAAAATAAATAATTTTGTAGATAAGAGCTGCGCAAATTCTATATAGATTAATTCATTGATTTTACAAACCAAGTTTGAATTTTCCTAAACACTCACCGGATAACCGCCATAGCTGAATACATGCGAGTGATCTGCCGTGACCACAATCAGCGTGTCCTCCTCATCGGTGAGCTCACGAGCTGCTGCTATAGCATTGGAGAACTGCACGGTCTCGTCGAGGGCCATGCGCGCCTTATTCATGTGATGAGCCTGATCAATGCGACCACCTTCGATGAACAGGAAGTAGCCCTCATCACTCTGATTCATGTACTCAATGGCTTTGCGCGTCATCTGCTCCAGCGTAGGCTGTGTTGTATTCTCATTTGTCTCCAAATGGTAGAGCAGATGATCCTCGTTGAATAGGCCTAACAAGCGATCCGTTTCCTGTAGATTAACGGCCTCCAACTCGTCGCTTGTGCTCACATAGACGTTGCCTGCGCCAGCCTGCTGGAATTCCTCAATAAGATTCAGACCGTCGGCTCGCTTGCCCTCTGCAGACAACGTAGAATCCACAAAGTGCTTGCGGCCACCGCCCATTATTAGTTTTAGTTTGCTGCCCACTTCACCATTTATTAGTTGATAAGCAATATCCTGAACACCTGAGTTTTGACCACAATCTGAAGATACCTCCACATCGTTCTCCCAATCGCGCTCGGCGATATGCGCATAGACGCCCGAAGGTGAGGCGTGTGTCACGCGTGTTGTTGTCACGAGACCCGCCCATTTGCCAGCATCTATGGCCCATTTGGCAATCGAGTCTACATGCGTGCTCTCATCCAGCATTGCTTTGCAATCGGTGCGCGGCACAGCACCCGTCACACCAATGGTGCCCTCCTGAGCCTTTACGCCGCACAAATAGGCCGTGGCCGTGCACGCCGAATCGGGCACTATCTTGTCCACCGAGTACGTCTTGGACAGGCCTGTGTAAGGAAAACGTTCGAAAGACAGCTCCTTCTCCTCGCCGCCAATAACATTTCGAGTGGCCGACGTGGTGGTCACACCCATGCCATCTCCCAAAAACATAATCACATTTTTGGCACGATTTTTATTCGGCTGGGACGCCAGTTTTGCGCGAACAAATTCAGTTGCCTGTGAGCGCCAGTATTCATTGTTCTCTTCCCCTTCAACTGCACGAATAGTGGAGCGCATGGGCTCCGGCAAATCTGGATGCATGAGCCGGTCACGGCAGTATTCCTTGTTGCCCTCACCTTCACATTTTGGTGCGGCCCGAACCGAGATGCTCAATAGCGTCAAAGTGAACGCAATGAGAAGATACGGCGATCGCAACATTTTTCCAAAGACTGACCACAGAACGACCCATTCAGCAGGTTTTGCTCTGCCACCTTCTTATGAATTGGTCAGCGATAAGGATAAGATTAGATCGGACCATAAAAATCGTCTGCGTAGTACATTGCAAATAAATCCAATACAATGTCAATGTAGCAGACCAACGAGCAATTTATGATAGGGCCTCTGAAAGAATTTATGGATTTATAAAACGTAACATGGAGCACGAGCTTAAATGCCATGAAAGGTATAAAACGTTTTAATGACTTGGTTACTCATGCAATGTGTGTGATTGAAGAGTGGAAAGCACATTATTTATGTTTTTGTCCGATTTAACGGCTTGCCAGACTTACTAATAAGCTACTAGTAACATTTTCCAATTCCTATTTAGGTTATATTTTATAATTTATTACAATTAATTAAAGCTCTTTCTTAATTCCTTTTTATAAAGTAATTTCTTTTCTTTTTGAATTATGTTTGAAAGTATTTTTCAAAGTTTCATATTTTTTATATTCCGTGTCAGGTTTTTGAGAAGTAAACATTTTCAATCGACTTAGTCGACCCAGAAACTAGAAATTAGACTAAAACAAAATGTCGGCCACGCTGCCTCCCCATCCCCCTCTCTGAGCCAACAAATGGAAAAATTATGGCACACGCACGACAAATTTCATGCAAATTACCCCTCCGTGTTAGCTTGGTCAACATTTTTAAGTAAACTTTCCACTAGAACTTTGATGTTAAAGAAGTCTTAAATGTCAGGCACGATTGTACGAATCCGTCCAGCAAACAAATTCCTTGAAATTCTTGCTTCCATCAAAATATCACGTTTCTGTGTTGTATGGTTGGTCTTTTCCTAAAACTTTCTTAATTATTTATTGTTTTTTCGTACTCTGAAGTTCAAAGTCTGAACGGTATGAATAAGAAATGGACTTTTATAGCTTCTATAATTTTAAGGCTTGAATTTAAAACATTATCTATTAGAAGCCATTCATTATTAAATAGGAACTAGATATCTTCTTACTTATAGTAAAGTTTCTCTTTAATACTTCAATCAGATTGTTAAATAATAGTATATATAGATTATTTATAATTAAAATTATTTTCAGCATAGAAAAAAGACACGTTTGATGTAATTATATTGGACAGTCCATGGAATATTTTGTTCTCACTTTTCGAAATAAATTTCACACAGGTGCTTCTCTTTACTTGAAGCAAATAAAATGCTTACGCCAATTCATTTAGCTAAAATATGAGCCATCTGTTCTAAATATATATAGTTATTGCAGAAATAAAAAAAACACTATTTATTTATATACACATGCTTTTCGCTTTGGTGGCAGAGAGCTGGGCTAGATAATGGACCACAAGAGACTGCTTTTGGAAAGTGTCTGGCCGACCTTTTCAAGTCAGAACAGTTCATAAAGTGGCTTGAAGACCTACATCTCCATCGTTTTGTTTGTCGAGTTTATCGCATTAATACATAATTCTATATGCCCCTATTTAAATGGCACATGTTTGATGGGAAGGTAGGTCATGTCCGTTCTGAGCTTTAACTGCTCAATGAAAGTCACGTAATCAGTTATGAGAAATCTCTGTGCACTCTATGTGTGTGTGTGTGTGTGTGTAAGTCAGGTGTGGTGGTGGGTGTGGAGCTGGGTAGGGGTTGACCATACTCATTACACACACGCCAGCGCATTTCATTTATCTGAGTCGTAAAAGGCGAACGAACAAGCCACTAAGGTAGCCAACCATTTTTATAGCCACGCCCCACAAAAAGTGACCGAAGAAAATGTGGGCAGAAAAAATTCGTGTCCGGACTGTGCGAATTTTTGTGGCCCCATATATTTTTTTTTACGTTTCCATACAAAACAGAACACGTGAGCGAAATAATTTTGATGGCACAGGGCAAGGAATTGAAAAAGAAAAGCTGCGTGCATGTGCTGAGCACTAAAAACAAAGCACAGGCAAACGCAAGCCGCTAGCCGACTTGACCACTTGAAAGTGAAAGGTGAAAGTTTTCAATGAGAATTGTACTGCTTTCATTAATTTGTAGCTACTGTTCTTGTTGCTATTGTTGCTGCTCTTGCGCTGGCCTCCTTTGTCGTGAAGCGAATGAAAATAGAATTCATTTATTCTAAAGTTCAACTCGAGTTTGAAGCATTCCCTCCCAAAGGGGGTAATGGAATTTACCGGAAGAGAATGTGAAATGAAATGCAATTCTCGCTAATGGTGAAGAAAAATTAAATTAAATATCAAACTCAAACAAACTTTTGCAAATCGTATTCAAGGCGAAATGAATGCCGGGATCCTTTAGCTTGTTTTCGAAGTTTACAAATAAATTCTGATCCTGTCAAGTCTGGAGACAAAATAGTTTAAATACACAAATAGTAATAAGAAATAAATTTATTTTTCTGTAATAGTTTCTCTGCAATATTTGTAAATTATGTTTCAATGATTACTTAAAAAAATTTGTATAGTGTACGTGTAATTTGAAAACCAAAGAGCTGGAGCTCAAAAGTAAAACTTCAAGATATTTCGAATAACAAATATTAGTCAAAATTATGAAGTTAATCAATGTATTTCATTTTGTTTTATCTCTTTTTCAACAAATTCGTGAACAAATTTTGTCACCTCTCGATTTTTCCTTTAGACTCGTGCTAGATTAAAAGTTGAGAGCTATAATGAAATTTGGGAATCAAAATTGTAGAATTCGAACTTTTCTCCTACTAATCTCTGTGACGTACAAAGCAAAATTTGGTAAAGTGCAGAAAATAAATATAAAAAAATGTGAGAGCAATTCCAAATAAATTTGACCCTACTGATTTACTTGTTAGATAGCAAAATAGATTAACTGTGCAAAAATATAGTATGTGATTTCTTTTCCACAATCAAGTGCATGCACATTCATGGAAATCGCACGTAAAATCTAGATTAAAAACCACACTAAACTTATCAATAAACAATCAACTGACTGGACTTTATCACGTATAGTAAAAACACTTTATGAAATTAAGAAAAAAAAAAGTCACACCATTATGTACATAAAATACTAAGCCTTGTAACTTCTTGTCGCCTTCCAGCTAAGCCCTCAATTTATTATCATAGTTGGAAAGAAAACTTTCACCTAATTAACAATTCGGCACTTACAACCTCTTATAGCCACAATCTGCTGCCGAACACGTGTTAAGCACTTTAACTTGTCTTATCGGCTTGTCGTTCATTGGTGTGGACTTTTTTTTTCCAATCACCCACCTTTTCTGGCTGGCCAAACGCAAAGGCAAACAACAACTTGCGGTCTGGCTCTTTGAGAATACGCCAAAATGAGTTTATGGCAGGTTTTCTAGTTTTTGTTTTCGGCAGACTGCCAAAAATACAATCATATAAATACCAAAATTTCATTCTCTCGCTTTTTCTTCTTCAGTTCTTTTATTATATATATATTTTCATTGTGTGCTATATATGTGTGTGTGTTTTCTTTTTGCCAGACATTGACTTTTGCCTTTTCTTTTGTTCGTCTGGCGCGGCATATTGAGTAACAGGCCGCTGAAAATGTGCTTAAAAATGTGTTGCCTAAAAAATCAGATGCAAACACATGAGATTTGTTTGCGTTTCATAATTTTGTGTGCTTGTTTTCATGTTAATTAAGTCTCGCATAAGTATGTATGTGGAATATTTATTTCGAGTGCCTGTAAATAAATACATTAAAAGGTACGTACACATGTGGCGTATACGTAACTTTTGAAGTTGTGCTGCTACTTGTTCAAAATGTTTTGCGTCAGTTGTATTAGCTCTGAAATGCTTTAAATTTACATTTTTATATATTTCAATGCGGTTTAGCAACCACTAAGGGCGTTTTGTTATTCTAAACGAGTCCCATTTGCCATAGAAATACAAAAAAAATAAATAAATTAGTTTGTGAGCTAAGCAAATGGTTTTCACTCGTTGTTTATTTTGTACGGTTAAAAAAACCATTTCATTTGATTTTGGTTTTCATTTAATTTATGGCAACAAATAAGTAAGCAATTGTATGCTAGGATTAAATTAAAAAACCGCAACAAGAGCGATGAATTTAGTGTTTGTTCAAAATTAGTTCATTCATTGATTAGAAAATACTACTACGCTAATTTGTTATAAGTATTAGTATTTTACAGCAGCATTTGAAAATGTTAAGCTTCTTATGTCTACTATTATTATTTACAGGTGTTATATATTCATGAAATGATCTATAATATTATATTCTACAATGTTACGAATATTGAAATTTGGATATAGCTAAAGAAAATAGTTTCTGAAGTCATACAATATATAACTTCAATTATAATAATAATGCACAAAAATATTCGGAGCTTTCAAACACTTCCGGACCAGCATAGAGAACAAAGCAAGCTACAAACATTTGCTTGAAGATTATTATACATAAATGTTAATAGTTTACACAAAGATTTTAATTGAATGCTACTTATCAAAATTTTTATCTCCTATTTTTACCTTCATTAATGTTTCAAAGAGTAGTAAAACAGGGGAGTTGCTGGGCAATTTAAAGAAGAAAAAAAAACACCTGTTTGTAAGGCTAGCTTGCTTGTGCCAGCTGAAGGTAAAAGGCCTGCGTTCTCGCCATAAATTAAAGGCGCTTTTATCTGCTCATTGATTTTGCACTTCCTCACGCATAAAATGCGCAGCTCACCCATAACAACACACAAGCAAACATACATATAGATATGTATATTGGTATGTTAGGCCTATAGCGGCGGGCGGGCAGTCAGCTGTGAGTGTCGTTGCGCACTTTATGTGTCGCCTAATAAATTCCAAGCGCTGTACTAAGTGCCACGATTGTGGGCATTAAGCCAATGTCCTGCCTCATTAATCAAGTGTTTGTGTGTGTGGAAAGGCCTTCGAAGCGTACTTCATGCTGATTTTCAGGCGATTCGAATGTGGTGAGGGATGGCTGTGGCGACATAAGTGCCAGAATATATTAAAGTAACATATAAATTATAGCTTGAGGTACTAACAAATCCCTTTACCTTGCTCTTTGTCGATTCACAGGCAGTTCATATCTGTACCTATCTTGGAGGAGAGCAGCTATGAGAAGGATGTTACCTTCAAGGTGCATTTGGGCGAGCCGCGCTTGGCGCCAGGTAAGTTGTAATTGCAAAACAATAACAACAACAACATCAAACTCAATTAAGCAGCACCAAACAAATCCTAAAAAAAAAAGAAATACACACGACAAAACCACTCCATTCCACTCCTTCAAATACACACAGACACAGACACATGCCACAAGCCACACACCATATGCCCTCCTCTGACCTACACAGATGTGTGCCTAACAAAGCAAAACGCCATTTTCCGCTAATCAAATTACTCATGCCATTGTCAACAAAATATTGTGATAACGGCAGCAGCCATAAAAGTGCACCAGGCAGCACAAGTTTATTATTTTTTAGCCGCGCCTTGTCCTTTAACCAAAACAAAAATGTCACTCACGTTTGACGTCAAGCGCCAAACTCGCACCTCCATGAACAGAATACTCGTAAACGATAAACGAACAAGAAGCGAAACAGAAACAGTCCCTGCACACAGACTCAAAACACTAACAGGAACAGGAGACACCACAAAACAAATGTGTCCTTTACCCGCTCGGTTTTTGCTCGCTGAAAAAAGCAGAGCACAAACCATTCAGTTTTATAGACAATAAGAAAAAGGACATCAAGCAACTAATCGATGCAGCAGCACTAGAGAACAAATTATGAATTGGAAATTCCAATTTGAACTTCGTTGTTCGTGTATAAACTATAACCTATGTACATGTACCACCTATGTACTATATCTACTTGTATATATATATATATATAGACATATATATACTTATATATACATAAACTATTCTGAATCCCTAACTTATACGTTTTTACCTTTTTTCGTCTATTTGTCTTTTTTATTTGTGTTCTTTTATGCTTCTAGATTCTGCTCACTACAGTAAGACCCAAATTGTATACAAGTATTAATTAATTTTATTTTAATTGAACACGAAAGAGCAAATTAGAAAAGAAAATCCCAAAGAAAAATTCAAATTGGTTGGCAAATGTGATTGCCAGACGCTGGGCTTCGATTTCGTTCACTTTGTTTCCTTGAGTTTTCACCAAAAAATTTTAGCAAGCGTAAAATTTCATTTCGCTTATTTCTATTGCGTGCGGAAATTGCGGCCAAAAAGTGCAAATTAGATTTATATTTTTCTTTCCCTTTATCCCCCTGCAAGAAAAAAAGCAACAAGCTTTCAATTTCTTTTTTTTTCTTTTGGTTCTTCTGTTCGTACTTTGTTTGGTGTTCTATGTTATGAGTTCCTATGTAGACCCTTATTTTTTTTCCTTTTACATCATTATTATTGTTGTTGTAGTTGCTAACTCTTGGCGCTGTCAAGAGAGAAAGATGCGTTTCCATGGCAAGTGGCAGCAATTAGAGAAAATTGAGCAGCAGCCGCCTTTTTAATTTTTGTCGTCACATACCTTTTCAAAGGATAAGATCGAAGAAGCTTGCAGTGAGTTAGGAATATAGGAAGAAAACAACGCTCATCCATGGTATAAGCAGCGTACTGACATACATCGATAAAGAAGCCATCCGTCTCGTCTGTCTCTATGCATTCAGCTCAAAGACTTTAAAGGCTACAAAAAAGGGCTCAAATCAGGCCACTACTTGTATATCAAAAAGTTGCTAGTTTTTTATTCATTAAATTAAATTCATTAGATATAGCTTATGTTTGTTAGAAATAATTGATTAAAAGATACTTTACATATAGGTCTTCTCACAATCTAATAACTTTTCCTTTTCTGAGATATGCATGTCCATCAATTTTCAATTCTACAATTCCTTCCTACCACTTCAAAATATATTACTGATTGTTAACCAAACCCGACAACTTTGTCCGATCGATTAAACACTGATCTTACTATGATTAAACGGTTAAATATGCATACACATATCTCGTACGAGTTTATCAGTTCCAAATAGTAGTAAAAGCCTGGACAATGCATCTGGGAAAAGATTACAATACCATTTGTTTTTTGCGTTCTTGTGTATGGCTTTTGTTTAGAAAAAGAGACCCTGTAAAACCACATAAACTTCATGCCCAATACCTAGTCAATAAATAAAGCATCTAAGTAAGTGTGTGCTAAATACGTAACCCATAGTTACCCACCATTTGATTCCGAGACAGTTGTTTTTGAAGCCAATTAGTGCGCTTTGTAGTTGAAATGCATTGCTGTGGCCCCCCAATCCAATCCACCATAGAAATCAAACCCAACACCCACTTCCCTGCACCATTTCTGTCACAACTCCATTAATAATATTATGTTTTCTCACTTGCATCTATGAATAAGTATTGAATTATGGTATAATTAAAATCTCACATCATGCATATATTTTTCCTTTATACAACTAAATAATTCAAAAACTACAATAAACCAAAACAAAAATCAAACCACACGCAGATGACACTAATACGGAATCATTTATCGATCGATTCTTTGGTATGTAAAAGTAATTAAAACAATTAACTCACGCCCCACATTTAAGTGTTCAGTTTACGATAAATATGCAAAAACAAATATAAATACAATAAATTATACAAAAACCCATTGTCACTTACACACAATGCAAATAATTGTTTACGGGTTAGCAACAACATACGTGCTCTGTCCATACACTCAAGACCATTCATTTTGGCATTAAATCGTAATTTTTTATTTACATTTTTCATTTCACAACAAATCGAAGCATTCGCCCACTTAATGAAAAGTATTGACACTGGTGAGCATTTAAATAGGTACACCACCTTTTCTGCAGGAACACGATAACTAACTTATAAAAGCAATTTTATGTTTAAATCAATCAATCAAATCTTTTTGTTTGTTATTCTATTTACCAAATAGGCTTTGAAAATAAAACTATGTTTAAGAAAGATACTCGTATGGGTTGTAAATTAAGCGATATTATTATATTAGGTGGGAAAAAAAAGAAATCCCTATTTATATGGGGTAGAACTGTATACTATATACTACTACTTCTTCAGTTCATTGACCTTAATTTAAAATTCGTAAAGTAGAAATGGAAGTTTTCCCTCTAAAAAAGTTGTCTGTGAATTCTCTAGTCGCAGCCGTAGAAATTATTGAAGCAGACCGGCATGTTGGCAGCCATATTATCGTTCAAGAACTTATGAATTACCAAAACAGCTAGATTTAAAAAAAAAGTCATTATTCAAAAACTACAACATGGGATCGAATAATCATAAAAAACCTATTGAGTCGAATTTTCAGTTGGTGGGACTGCAAGGAGGTCATTTACCAATAGCTGCTCCCATGTAGCCTGAATTCTCATTTATCCATTCAACAATTATTGTGTTTGAAGCTAGCGATAGACCACACTTATCAATAGTGACTTGAAAAAATCTCCGTCATATTATAGTCAAGATCTGGCGCCAAGTGAATGTCATTTTTATTGGTCATTTGAACCTTTTCTAGGGCGATAGTTGGTTGGCCATTATTTTCAGCAATTTACTTAACTCTTCTCTAAATGACAACGAGTCTAGCCAATATATATCTGATCTAAATCGGACAACGGAATCTTTATTAAATTTTTTTTTTGAAAATAAGGCAAACAATAAATGATTCCTTCTTCCCCAACCCAATAATAATGGCCCACATGTGAAATTCCATAAATTGTTGTGCAAAATATTTGCTTTCTGAGCAAACCCCATTAATAATCTCCTCAATAAACAATTATTGAACAAATATTTTTGGAAAGCTACACATGCAAGAGTCTATAAATATATCTATATACTAAGTATATAATGAACTCTTTGTCGCTAATCTGTGCATTAAGCAGCTGTAAAATTACTTAAATTTTTGTAATTAAAACAAAGCAATAATAATGTTTCACCAATACAGTTGATTAAAAAAATAGCTTCGAAATTAGTAGTTAATGAATAAATTAGTATTTTGTGTGAAAATAGTAAATATAATACAAGTGTTCTGATTGATTGATCTCTACATATACAGGGTGCGCCATCTTTTATGTCGGTATGTAAACATGGAATATCTTTGAAAATAAACAACCGATTTTCAAGTATGAGATATTTTTATTTAATTTGGTTCTGTACAATTTCTTGAACTGAGGTTTTCAACACTGGTCTAGTCAAGTCAATCGGTTCACTAATAACAACGTTATTCAATATTTACATGCCGACATAAAAGATGGCGCACCCTGTACAATTAACTCACCCATTCATTTAATCAAAGCAACCGCATTTTGTGTGGTTGACATGGTGGTTTAGTTGGCACTATTTAAATGCTCGCGAGTGTGCGCTGTGTATCGTAAAAGTGTCTTCACCTCCAATTTGTCTGCTTGCTTGAGTAGCGCACCAAAACCAAAACCGAAACCGAAACCAAATCACTGTCTACTACTGGCTGTTGTGCTTCGCATACAATTTAAATGGCTATGTTTATACGTTTGTGTATATGTAATCGTATAATTTCCATGTACTACAATTTAACAATGTTTGTGTGAAGGAATTGCGCTTTTTCGACGCAGCAAGCCAAAAATAAATACATTTTACAAAAAATACAAAACATTAAGTTGAAGCCTCCACATCAAGTGGTGGATGCAATTTCTTAGAGAGCGTGCCCTGCCATTTCGTTTTCAATTGAAATAAAATTAGTTCTGAAATGTCTCGAATGCATTTTGGAGAACAATTTTGGTTAAATATTTGGTTGTGTCTATGCTCTGCGGATTTGTAAACGCGCTTGTGCCCGCTTCTCTTTGTTGTGCCTTGAACTCTCTCTACACGCGCAATATAAAACTCTCAAACATGCATCGCCAATTCGCCAAAATTTGTAAGTAATACACGCTACACTGCGTAATATTATTGAAATAATTGTTTGTGTTTTTTGTAACTGAAAGCAACAATGTAATTTATTTATACATACAAGTATATATTCGTATTTACCACCTTAAAGGCTGTATTGAGTTTCGCCTTCTTAACCATATCGATGTCTTATATTCGCTGTATATGTGTGTGTCTTGATGTGTGATAGACCCAAAACAATTTTTAAAAAACCAAAAATTCCGAATCCAAATCACTTTATATTCCGCAACAGTAATAAAAGCAGAGTAACGTATGCAAGCTTGAAACCTGATGTTCAAAATAAGGAACAATTAATTATAAACAAATATATATATTAGCATATTTTCACTGAATATTTATTTATGAACTATAAAGTAAAATAATACCAGCCAGTGTAACCCTTTTCAACATTTGTATTTTCTGCAACTTTCCACCGAAAATATTCATGTTGTCACGTCTCGATGTCTAGAAAATCACGCACACACCGGAGATCATACCCGTGAGTCATCCAATGTTCCATCCAATATTTGGTTGCATGCCTCATCTCGTAGCTAAGACACTATGTACAAAACTAATACAGTATTTTTCATTATAATTCATTATTAGTTGTTGTATAGTTTGAAAAGAATTTAAATAATATTTATATATAAAAATAAGTGTAGTGAAATGCGCAAAAATGTAAATCAAGGCTGCACTCTTAAATATTTTTTGGTTTAGAAACATCGAAGCGTATCTTAAAAAAACACCGAACAACAATTAAAAGAATGAAAATTCGATATATGTTCTTTACACATTTCCACATAGTATAACTATTTTTAATGAAAATGTAGAATAGGGTCAGACGATTTAATCAGCAATCGGCACTATTCCCCCAAAGCAAGTCGAAGTAATCTTAATCTGTAAAACATAGGTATTTTGATTCAAGTGCCTCACTTTTTTCTATAATTAAATACTATATATTGCTTTAGGTTTAGATGATGACTTAGTTGCTTTTAGTCTCATGAGCATACATGAAATAAGAGGTGTTCTCAAAACGCCCCTAAACCTTCTTCTACATTTTAATGTTGTTAAATTTTCATGCCAGAAACAAATTTCATTTGCCTTTTAAAGAGTACGGAAATGGGAAGAAGAATATTATAATTTTTATTTATTTAATTAGAAAAATATTTAATTTAGAATAATAATACAATGTAGGTATTCTAGTGACGCGAATTATAATTATATTAGGCTGCAGAGATGGCAGGTTTCTATATTGTTTACGATTGTCAGCTTACTATTGTAGACTATTGTAGCAGCAGATGCCGATCATTATTTGCTTTTGTTAATCCAAGTTACATTTCGATTGGGTTTATTGGGAGAGATTGGAGATTGTTTTTGCCAAGGCAACAAAAACATCTGTGTACCCAAAGGAGAGCAACTTTATTGGAAATACAGGTGGCGGAAATTTCCTTAACTTAATTCTTAGTCTATTGTTATTGGAACATATGAAAATTAAGGGCCTTATTTTATTTATGTCATAGTCCAAGTTAGGTCAGAATCGAAATGAAACCTAAGGTTGTTCCAATTATGAAAAATGTAAATAACTAAATATATTACAAATATAAAGCAAATAATTGGTAGTCTGTTGTATGTTTAATAATCAAAGCTTCGCTATTTTACTATAATTTTGTGCATTGGTGTACTATAAATTGAATTTGTTTTCCTCCCTCTTGATTCTGGCTATCAAAAATATTTGTTTATTATTTAGCAACATGTGCTCAAACCTACATACATAGTTTATGGTAATTAGGTTCAAGATGTTTACATGTTTTGTGTCTTGTTGTGTCATGCAACTACATACATAAATAATTAACTGTGTATGTATGTATGTATGTGTGCATGTATGTGTATCTGTGTATGTTACGTGACCTCAACAACAACATACTCTACTCCACTTGGTACTTGAAACTCTCTATCTCTATATATATATTTATATATATCTCTCTCTACACTGTCGTCTGTCTTTTCTTACTGTGCTTACAAAAAATATATCTGCAATTTATACATAAATATATGCAACTACTCTTGTTATCTGCAAACTTACTTACATACATACATAGATGTATGTATGTAAATACGCACTCAAACACACTGCAACCGTGATTATGTATGTCTATGTTTGTGTGTGTGTATGTTGTGCATACAAAAAACAAATTTTGTCTTGTCATCTGTGTGTATGTATGTTACAGCTGTGTGTATGTTGTGCTTGTGTGTGTGTGTGTGTTTGTTGTGTGTGTGTGTATTTAAGTCTGTGTTTGCTAAGCAGAGCTGACATTTTCACTGCCTTTTGAAAATGCGAAATTGCATGGCGGCAAGTGGAAATTGCCAGCGATTGCCAAGAGCTCACACATACAGACACACGCACGCATGTATATACACACATAGACACACACAAACACACATAGACACACACACACAGTGCAGACACACACGCATGCAGTGTCAAGTCAACTTAGCATAGCGATGACTAAACTCTTCTACATATACATATACATATATATATCTGAACGCTGCGTATAGGGGACGAACTGTTAGCCCAAATCCAAGAAGTGGAGAAGAAGAAAATAGAGGACTTGGACGAATTGGAACGCATTTTGTTGCTGAGCAAGCCCAAAAATGGTGAGCTATCCACCGTACGCATACGCATTCGGGAGAGCAAGGAATTCAGGGTGAGTCGATAAATTGTGATGCAATAACTTTAAGGATTTCTCGATAATATGTAGTAGCAGCAGCATCACCAGCAGCCTGGCGGCATGCCAGCACTGCACAGCATAATGTGATTTATGTAAATGAGGGGACGAAAATCAATGCAAAGCTACGCATCGCATCGTTTCGAATTAATTCACACACTCAGCCACACGCCCAAGCACATAACAATGCAAATGAAAAGCAATTCCATTCACTTGTCAGACCGGAAATGCCACATTTACACCTACACAGAGCCGGGGTAACGCCCACAGACAAGCACACACACTCTCACGCATAACAACGCAATGATCCTGTCATGAACGTGACAATCTCATACTCGTTCACACTCTGCCTCACTTACACACAAACTGCATTGCAAATTTTTGCCAACTGTCCCCTACAAGTGTTACCCTCTATTTGTACGAGTACACGTACATTAGTTGGCAATTGAAATGGCAACAGCAACAGTTGGGCCTCGAATAACGCGATTAGTTCGCTTCTGGAAGCAAATAGTGTATTGGCAATATTATTTAACTTCTCACTTCTCTCAAAACATTTAAAAAGGAAGCTGAATAACAAGCAACAATTGTCAAATTCCTATAACGTCGTTTTCTTCATCATTCTGTGAAAAGCACATTAATTGATTATGTACAAATTCTACACAAAAAGTTAATACTGTCGATCAATCGGAGACAACAATTAAAACTAAACAAACTTTGCGAGAAGTTCTTAACTGACGGGCATCAAGCGCATGTTTTATAAAAGACAATATTACAATATTTTTAATGAAGGTAGTTAAACAATTCACAAGTCAAAGGATCTTGATAAAAATGAAAAAATGAAATAGTGCGAAAATTTTACTCAATTGTGTCGACAATGCTATCCAACTGTTACCAATAAAAGTATTAATTAAAACTTGTAATTTGTAATTAAAAACATGAATATCAAATACCTTTTTATAAACTCACGCGAAATTATGGGACTTGTCTTCTGCAATTATCAATTAATTCTAAATTGTTTTTTTCTTAATGCAGTTACATTACAATTGTAGCTTTTTCACGATAGTGTTAAAACTTTAGGTCTTTAATCGAATTTATATATTCACAAGTACCTGTCAAAGGTAACATGCCATGCAGCAATTTGTATCCAAAAGTTCGGTTGAAATTATCTACTCAAATCTAGCTGTCATGAAAATTTAAACTAAGCAGCATTTCTTACCACAGCAGCTCAATCTTCCTCAGCTTAGGACGGGCCTACGAGTTCTGGTAGGCCCAACGACGGGCTCCAAAAAATATTTTTCGTTTAAAAATATATTACTTTATATAGCAACAGGATGGATACAGTTCTTTTTCTTATTTACAATAATATTCATTACAAAATCAGAGCCATGTAAGGTGCCTCGATTGACTGCTCTATTTCTCAACAATTGCTATATATTGTATATTCAGTATCCACATACGGTTTATTTGTATGTACATATTATAGCCGAAGGCATCAAGTTCGTTTTTCGGCAAATTCCATCAAGTATTTGCTATTGTCGAAATAAAAACCCTTGAAAACGATATATATAACTGAACCGCTTTGAAAGGCAAATATATTGCTCCATTCGGGGTCTGACTGTGCGGCAAAGGAAACAAGAGCTCTAATGCCAAGTTTGACTTGTGGGAGGAACTGACTCGTTCCCCTGCTGAGTTTCAGGTGCAAAACAAATAACCACCTAATTGTGCAAATCTCCAAATGGTCGTTGAGCGTGCCTTGTTGTTATTGCTGTTGCCAGTTGCCTCTTGTGTGTTCATCTGTGCGTATACTTAATGTGCGGATGCTGTTGCGTATACGCAATGCTTTACTCATATCATATACATAACAGCTAATGATTATCCCATTACAAAACAATATAGGCTACCGTCGATAAGCTTGTTGCCAAGGCCAATGTATCCGCCGTTCTCGGCACATCATCCTGGAAAGAACAGTTCAAGGATGCGCTAACTGTCGTGCCGGGTAAGTAAAGGCAACTGTTGCGCCTAATCCCCTGTAAATGCCATTTAAATGTTTCACATATGCCATCCACAATAGCCGATGAGAGTGAATTCGATAATGAAGATGAAACGGAGGAAGAAATTCCCGGCTGTTTCGATTATATCAGCCATTTTGTTTGCCTCTTCTGGAAGGTACTCTTTGCATTCGTGCCGCCAACAGGTAAATGTTACAAAATCGCCACTCACCTAGTACATCGTATTTAAACGACTGAGTTTTTATAGATTTGTGCGGCGGTTACATAACTTTCTGCGTATCGATAATTGTCATTGGCCTCGTGACCGCCGTCATTGGTGATGCTGCCAGCTACTTTGGCTGCGCGCTCGGCATCAAGGATTCGGTCACAGCCATTTGTTTTGTGGCACTCGGCACCAGCATACCAGGTAAGCGATCACTTACTACATCTTATAGCACAGAGTGGTATGTACCCGCGTAATCGATAAATATGTGAAGGCGTACTTAAATAGCAAATGGGTTGAATCTGCTATATAAAATATATATTATATATATTACGTTTTACGCAAACGTGGGTTGTTCTGATTCGATGATAATTATGATAGGTTTTTCTAAACGTAGTCCATCCTAAAATTATGAGGAGTATGTATTTCATAAAGAAAAAGAGCAGCTATGTAATAATAATTGATTATGTCAGCAGTTGTTGTTTAACATAAGCTAAATAAAATCTAGCAAAAAGTATTAATATACGGCTGTACGGCTTAGAATCGGTAAATTACCGGTATGGTGCAAATTGAAGGTCCGCAAGCCACAATACTTCCAACCGAAGTAAACAAAAGTATGGCAAGCTGCACAGTCTGATCTTAATTTCTATAGTAACTGTTTATTACAAATGCTTGCTCTTATGCTCTCAATATGGCATGTATTTTAACAGAGAGCTTAAAAAATTCAAATTGGAAAAAACAAACTGCACATTCAATCTAAATTTTAAAGTACCTGTTTATTACAGATGCTTGCTCTTATGCTCTCAATATGGAATGTATTTCAACAGAGAGCTTTATAAATTCAAATTAGAAAAAACAAACTGCACAGTCAATCTACATTTTAAAGTACCTGTTTATTATGCTCCTTTATGCTCTCAATGTGGAATGTATTTTAACAGAGAGCGTAAAAAAATTCAAATAGAAGAAAGCGAACTCCCCAATCTGATCTCAATCTCTAAAGTAACTGTTTATTGCCAATGCTTCCTTATGCGTGCTCTCAAGCGCATATGGAATGTATTTTAACAGAGAGCGCAAGAGAGAGCGCATAATGACAACAGAGTGTTTACATTAGCTGTACGCAGACAATGCATTCTAACAGCTCACTGTACACAGTCACTCTGTACAAACAACGCTACTTAAGAGAACACTTTAAAAATTGATCTTTACGTTACTTATGCCTATACATAGTAATAACATCTTATTAAATATAGTTGCAATGTATATAAATTACCAAAAAGTCACATTCGACTCTGATTCATCAACATTTGATAGTGAGAGCACGAGATCTAACATTTGTGAGCCTCTCTTCTGCAGACACATTTGCCAGCTTGATAGCTGCCAAGCAGGACGATACCGCTGACAACAGTATTGGCAATGTGACGGGCAGCAATGCAGTCAATGTGTATCTGGGCATTGGCTTGGCGTGGTCCATTGCTTCCATCTATCACATGTCGAATGGCAATACTTTCAACGTAGAGCCGGGCACGTAAGTTTTCGAACTATCATCCACAGTTGAATGAACCTACATATTTCAAATGGTATGTCTACCTGCTTTACAGAATTGGTTTTGCCGTCGCGCTCTTCTGCGCATTGGCCATGATAGCATTTGGTATAATGATGTACCGTCGCAACAGTAAAAAAATTGGTGCAGAGCTAGGTGGACCCAAATCAAAATGGGTGCATGGAAGCGTTTTAATCTCCTTATGGATTCTTTATCTCATCATCAGCACATTGGAGGCCTATCATGTGTTCAAAATTTAGGCGCCTTGTGCGAAACGCATTATAGAATAAATATAGCAAATACCATAGCAAATTCTTGCGCAGCCCTTTTTAAATTTCAAACCAACAACAAAGTTAAAAAAAAAAAAACAAAAATGAAACCGAAAACATGAAAAAAACATTTTGGAAAGCTACGAAGATGCTGTAACAAAATATGATATACTTAAGCGGCAATTTTATATACATATGTGTATGTTAATACAATACAAGTATATTTATTATGTAAAATTTATGTTAATATATACATATAAAAAATGGTACTGTTTAATTAGTTTTAGGTCCGGCTTAGTTCTAAATATAAACATTATACTTTTAGCTAATGCGTATTCTAAATAAAAATTGAAAAGAGAAAAACAAAATAAAATGCTCGATGGTACTACATACATCGAGTTCTTCTTCGATTCAGCAAATCTTCATTGTTATGCCATAATTTACAATGTGTTATTGTTAATACATACATATATGTTAATATATAACTGCATGTATCATCATTCTCTCATTGATTTAAGTCATTGTTGTTGTTTGTTAATGCCAGTACTTAATTCGAGAAAAACGAAAACGAATTACAAATGTTGTTACTATTTAATTACATACATACATACGTTTACAAACTTGTCTCTCCATTACAAGCATAAACAGTCATTGTTAATTTAATACATGTGTAAGACTTAGTAAACGATTTCTGAACCTAAACTGAAGCTACGTACTATGTAACTAGAATTATGTATGACTGTAGAGCCCTACCTAGTCAGCAAAATTTTAAGAAAGTACCCAACCTAAACACAAAACTATATAGAAACTTCACAATACATACATACTACAAAATGAACTACATTTATCTTTAAGCGCCAAGAATAACACTTGACCAAGAGAACGAACTGCTTGAGAAAACAAAACAAACAGCGGCACTTTAAATACGACCACCAGTGTTTACAGTGCTGGCCCACTAAGAAACTACTACTCTACTACTCAATTTTCTATTGTTATCCCCACTTAGAGCAAATAGAACTGTAAAGCAAAAACGTATATTGAAACAAAGTAGTCAGGCGTGTTCGACTACGGCATACCCTATACCCAGTAAAACAAACTGTTTATTTGAAAGCAACATTTTTCAATCAAATTTCCAATCAAAACAATACTACTAGTAATAATGTACTCGAATAACAAGTTTGAAAATTAATACATATGCCATTGCAAATATGAAGTCCAGCGGCGATAACGTCATGATCCTTTTCGATTATAGATGCACCTGCAGTGCTTATTAGTGTTTTCCGAGTCATTAATGAAGGAGGGCTCAGGAATCCATTTCGTCTGACTATATATAGTACTCTAAGGGGTCTGCCACGTCTTTCTCTACAGAAACATTTGCCGATATTTAATACTATATCCATTTTTGTTATTTGAGCATACAGGGTATAAGTAGAGCAGCACCAAAATAAAATGTGTTTACATGAGAAACGAGTAGAAAACGTAAAATGAAAGTAAAGAGAGCAGAAAACTTTTATATGATGTTAAATTATTTTTTAATACAGCCACAATGAGAGATCGTAGCAAAAAGCAAAAAATTATTAATAACAACATATATTAACATATACATAACATATTTTAATAAATTGTAATTGGGGATAAATGCATTGCACCTTTGCTGGGGAGAAATGATCGAAAAATGCGCCAAATTTAGAAATAATTCAAAATTTGCTTACAACATACGTATGTAAATACACAAACAAAGTAAGAGAACGTGCATAGTATGTATGTGTAACAAATATTGTAATAATAAATAGTTGAAATTATACATATGTTATTGTCCATACGAAAAGCTAGTTATTATCGTACAATTAAATTACAATTAAAATGTACTCAATACAATAGTCTTATATAATTTTGAAATATTAGCTTATGGCATAAAATGCTGCAAAACAAATTGATTCAAAATTTAAATGCGTTTATTTCTTGGTTCGTAATGCCGTCGAACTGGGCTTTCACAAGAATAAAAAATTTTAAAATATATCTATAAACCGTTCCACATCTGGCTGCAAAATGTGAAAATTGAGAAAACCCAAGCTTCATATGTGAGGTTCAGATTTTGGGCCAACAGGGAACAATTTCAATCTCATGTTGTCAAATACGAAGTGATTTCCCTACTATTTCTAATCCCAAAATCATGGGAAATGGTGTTGATATTTCATTGGCGATCTGCAATTAATATTCCGATAACAGTGGAAACCATTTACTTTAAATAAAGGATCGACACCCGGGTCCATATTTCGGTAGCGCTTGCGAACCTAAAATACCACCACATCAGTTTAGAAGTTTGTCCAAGTTGAAATGGTTTATACGTATAAGAATTCATTATTTTCCCCGCCATTGTTTTATTTTAAAGTTTCAGCAGGTCGAGTAAGCTAATTGGGGTCGAGTCTTGTCATGATTTAGAAATGCACTGAGTGCATTAAATATATAAATAACCATCTGTTTAACGGCAGCGTACTCGCAGGTCTAGTCACATAACGAAAAATATAGTATATATTGATGCGAAGGCAAATAAAGAAGAGAGTTAAGTGCTTCCGGAATAGTATTTAGATGACTTCTAATGAGCTAATAGCTTTGAAGCGATGCCATAAGCAAGAACGACAAATGCGTTTTCATTTTCTCAATCTTATAAGATGGAAAAATCAATGTATGGGTAAAAAAAATAAAAACAAACATGGTTATAGGTATAGGTATAGGGTACAAGGTGAGCTCACATAGCAGAATATTTTGATGTAAAACAGGAACTCATTTCAAAGGACTTTCAGTTTCATGACAACATAACTTTACCAGTCAGTCAAGCAAATAATTGGGCACATTACAACCCTTTTAGAGTTCACCTTTATTATGAACTGTAAAGAAAAAGTAAGCTATATATTTAATATGTGTATATTATACAAATTTCTTGATTTGTTGTTTGTTACGGTGTATTTTCGAATCAAATTTTTTACTTAATAATACATTTTTATATATCAATGTGATTTTACCCAAGACAAGAACAAAAAACTCAAAACCAAACAAATAATAATAAATCAAATATTGATAAGCATACTATAATTGAACAAAAGAAAAATACGTGCAACTAACAACGCCAACAACACATATAGTATAGTATGTGTTACTTTTAAAGCAAATCTAACAAAAATTTCAAATACTAGCTACTGTAGAATCTAAAAGTAAACTAAACTCATTTCTGCATCCTAGAGAAACGTTTAAAACTTTCAGTAAATAGCACTTCACTCTACGAATCAACTATGAACAACAAAGGAATACTATCTTAAATGTATTACAAAATGAATGAACAACATTTTACTTTATAAAAAAGACGCATAGATGTAAGAGCATTTCAAAAATACTCGAAGCAGTGCAAAAAAAAAGAATTAAGTGTTAAATATTTGCAAATACAAGTATGTTAACCGAACAACCAAGCAGCAACAACAACAACAAAATCAAATGAAAAACAATACAATAAACGACACAAAAATATGTCTTATACGAGTAGCACAACCCGTCTGTCTATCTTCTCATTTGATAAACAAAAAACGATCAACCCTTTTGTGTATATTTTCTCTATCTACTATTAGCGCAAAAACTTACAGCAAATTTAGAAAAATATTTAAAAATCATCCATTGTCCTTTCTATGACCAATCAGTCCCGCAACGAGTGAAGCAATAATGGTTCGACTTAAATGAATAATTACAATATTATCGGTAAATAAAATAAACTTCATAAAACGATTCTGTTGAGCTTCTTTGTCTTCTTCATAATTATATTTTATTCTTTTGCTAACATAAATAAATTGTAATCTATTTTACGAAACGTCTTTTCAACAATCCTATCCCACTAAAAGCCTCACAACAACCAATTTTTCTTAGAGAGCATTAACCACATTTTTCAATACATAAGCTTTATTGAATTTTCAACAGCGTCACTGTGTTTAGAATACTAAATTATAAAAAGAATACTTTTTATTTATTTCACTATCCACTTGGCATTTACGTACTTTATGCCCCAATTTGGGCGCCAATATTAATTACCACTCTTCAATTAATAATGGTATGTATTTATGGAAAAGATGACTTCTTGAATGGCATATTTTTATTGCTCAAGAACATATAGAATTTGCGCCAACTTCTTTGTGTAACGTACAAACTTATCCAGCCACCTACTGTACTCAATATTGAAAGAAAATCATCATCTTATCAAACGTCCCTCTTCCGCGTTTGCTGACAAAGCAGGGCATCGCCAATAAATGCCAGATAGCTGCTCTTATGTAATATAAAATCGCCAACCGAAGACCCCTCCAGATCTCTAGAGACCCACAAAAAACGCAGAGATAAGCGCACAATCAGTGTGACAATATTGCAAGCTCTGAGATCTATGAGGGAAGATGTGCGCGTCGAGATAAAGTTGTTTACAGGAATTTAAAAATAAAAAAATAATAATAATAATTAAACAGTCAACAAAAAAGCATCACACATAAACAATAAAAAACTTAAGCGCTTTGGAAAGCTAATTTAAGCAGTCGAGACAGTTGTGCGTGGAATGCCGCCGCGTGGAGTCGAGTTGAATTGACAATTTGTAGCACAGTGTGTTTGGTGTAGTGTAATATTTGTTATAAGCACTTGCCGGCAGACAGGCAGACAAACAAGGACACTGCAAATATGAGCTGTGATGAGAAAACTGCGCTCTTAGGGCAACAGGCGCAAATTATTATTGCAGTGCCCACGGTGCTTGGACATCCGAAGGATTATGAACCCATTTTCTCAACTGCTGAGTAAACGCTTTTTCTCGCATTTCATTAAAAAAATAACTTCATTACACAGCACATTTCTTTCCCTCCCTAAGCTACTCACACGGCCTCACACTGGAGGAGCTACTGCCCTACACATCCGATCCCTGGTGGCAGTCTGTGCGTCGCCTCTGCTTTGGCTGCCTCTGGCTGGCCTTTCTCCTGACCTTAGTCGCTGCCTGCACACTCGCCTATTTGGACTCTGGCAGCTCCTGTCGCCCAATTATCCCAACAACAACGATGCAGACACGTTTACTGCTATCTTCCTCTGCCACACCATCGCCAGTACTGAGCTATGCCGGCAGCAATGGAACGTTGCTGTTGACAACACAGTAGCAAGAATGAAGGCCTTCGCCTGCCATGTCTTAGTTTAAAGTTCCATTTAAGTTGGATGCTGCTGCAACAGCATGGTTTCGATTACATCAGCCATTACGCATTCTGTTTGATTTTCCGGCATCGGCTTTCCCAGACCAGTCCAGCAGCTGTTCATCGCTACTGATAGCATGCGTTGCCGCTGACTCAGTGATAAGCGTCTCCATTGAAGCGTCACCTAAAAATTCCTGCACATCCAATATTTGCATAGCAATTGTTTATTTGTTTTTCTTTACTATAATTGTCACTAATCACTACACATTTACATTTGCTAGTAAGAACAATACTATGTATTTGTAAGATTAAATCATAATGGCTTAACCTTAACAACTGTACTTTACATTACTCTTAACCCTTAGGCCACCAACGGAGTTGCCTTGTCAACACAAAATTTAGAGGAATTAAAGATATATATACAATCTGATAAAGTAGCAGTATTTGCTTTTCGTTCGATGCAAGTAGTTTCGGAAAACTAATTGGCTGTTCTCAGGCAGCTGTCTGATTAAAGGAGAAAATAAAATTAATATAAATCAAAAATAAATTATTTGCTGTATAACAAGCTAGTCTCTACATTTCCGTATTCGAAATTGCTAATAAACTTCGATCATTCAATAATTCTGATAATGTTTCATTTTAATAAATTTAGTTGCATTTTTGGTTTACTTTCTTCAGTATTTACTCGATTCACTAGTCAATAAATATAGCCTTAAGGCAATATATTATTCTATATTTACTTTACTTTGAAAAACAACTTTAAGCTGCAATTTTTTAATTTATGAGAAGAATTAAAATGAAAACAGCCAGTTTTTATGCATACTATATATATTTATCAAATTCCTAACTGATAAATTCAAGTAAAATAAATAAGATACTCTTTATTTTGAAATATCGAAATTGGAATTTCAACAAAAAGAGCCAAAAGCCATAAAGGCAGACCTAGAATAGCGCTCGAATAAAATTCATGTTTTTTTGAATAAAACAGCTTATGGTATATTACTAGAAAGCTTTAAGCTACTCTTAGGCATGGAAATGTTTTCCAAGCAAATAGACTTCAAAAAGTAATTCCCACAGATTATTGCAGCAAAAAACTAAAATTGAGTTGCGTATTCCTATTAGTTTTAATTGAAGAAACCTTATATTCACGACACACTTGCGAAATTCAACAAACTTGTGTGCAAATTATTTGCCAGTCTGATCAAAAGTTAAGGTTGCCTTTTGTTCCGCACAGCTTCACATAAACACCAACGTGCCTCCCGTGCCCTCCGTTGGGCGCCAATACTATAATCTGCTGCCAACACTTTCACGCCTCAATTGGCAACAGTGCCGGTGTCCAAACTTCGATTGTTTTTACTTTGTGTTGGCTGCATAACACGTACCAGTGTGAGCGCCTGACTGAAGCCCATCTTGTGCAGCGGCTTCATTTGCTTAGCCGCTGACCATGGCTCAAAGTCGAAGCTGTCTAGTTGGGCGCAGTCCATATACTCATTAGTCCCTAGCTTGTGCCGTTCCATAACACGCTGACGAACACGCGTTATACCGTCCGAATTACGACAAATTATGGCAGCTAGTGTGGTCTTGTAGATTTCTGCCAGTTGCGCTGAATTTTGGAGGGAATCTTGATAAGAGATAAGCAATAGACAAGATAAAATATACCAAACCTTTGCTAAAACGTTGAGCTCCCACTTTACGCTCATACCAGTGCGAATCCCCGCGTTTCAATCGCAAAAACTGATCGGACACAATGCAACTAAGTAGCGGTCCAAATATGGCGCCCTCAAGAGGAGGTTCACTGAGCGCACCCGTATAAACATCGACGTCTGCTGGAGAACTGAAAGGTAGATCCTGTTAATATATACATAAACCTAAGGACATGTATTACTTACTTATAGATCTGCATAATGGACTGCAATGTGACGTTATCCATGGCAAGTGCCATTTGATCCCAAGAATCCACAGGCGGAAGCCGGCAATGTCTTCTAAAGACTGGATAAGCGGGTATACCATGATCACGTCCACGTTGTATGTTCAAAGAAACCAAGTCTAAGCCGCAAATGGGTAAGTGATCCTCTTCTGGACCCTCGAAGAGCTTCTGAGTGACCTCTGGCGAGAAGAATCGATCGACGCGCAGAACGGCAGTATTAGACGCGGCCTGCAGGGCATGATCAATGCCATGCTCCGCCCAGAGAGAAAAGGGATTGAAGAGCATCTTGTGCAGCTCAATGGCCTCGGGTGTGCGATTCTCCCGAGTCATATTAAAGAGACCCTACGATTTAAATAAATAATATAGAGTGATAGAAGACTAGTAATATTGTATCGCTTACCGGGAGTAGGGTGTGTGCGAATCGAAACGCGGCTGCAGCAAAACAGTTGGCAATGGTAGGATCTACATCTGCATCATACGTATCCGAGAAACTATCCTCATTGATATCTGGCAACAGTCCCTTGGCAGCCGCCAGATCGCGACCCAACAGTACGGGCAGAAATTCATTGTAGGCTATGTGAGCCAACTGGGCGGCAAGTATCTTACGCGCTTCTTGATAGATGTGTTCATCATCCCAATCGGGATTCAGGGCATTGAGGTTACGAGCCAAATAGTTATGATGACGTGCCCAAAGCAAGTGCATTGAGGTCAACAGCAGATTCTCATTCGCCCGATCATCGCCGGACTCGAAGCAATATTTCCCTTCACGTGTCATCTCCACACGATTGCAGCCATCCTCCGAGTTCGTTGAAATAGGCAGCAGTTCGCGTCCATCATCGGTTAGGTACATGCGCAGGGTGCCATTTATGAAACTGCGCAGCTGATGCTGCCGCTGATCCAGATTGCCGTACACCACAGACCCATCGATGAATGATGTGGCCTGATTAAGCTGTTGGCGCGGACCAAAATGTCCTGTGGGTGCCGGCGCTGAGCGTACAAAGTTCATACAAGTCACATTGTATTGTATATAGAAGGGATCATCGGGCAGTATCAGCACGGGAAAGCATTCCGGATGTTGCGTCTGTATATCAGGCACACAGCAGTCAATGGACTCGCCCTCTTGTGATGTTGTCAAGGAGGTGGCTGTTATATCATGGTCTAGAAATTGACCAAATACCGCCAGCATGACCGTAAAGTTCGAGTCTGTATCGTAGGACGAGCGATGTATCCTCAATGAGACCTCCCGAGCGGGGGGCAATCGACCACCCGTCATATTGTGACTAGCACGGGGCGTCGATATCCCATCCGCATAGTCCGGGGCCACCATTCGACGATAGGGTACCATAGCAGCGCCAAAATTACGCGGATGCTTTTTATTATTGCAAACGCCGTTGGCGCGACGATAGCGCGCATTAAAGTCGCATTTCAGATGATCCGAGGTTGGGTCCGGCAGCACAATACGCGGTCCGTGCCCAATGTTGCTACGTCCCGGCTCCTTAGAGTAATTGAAACGCTGAGCAATGTTCATAGTCGCATGGTTCTCCACATAGCCACGACGTGCCAGCTTGCGAGCCTCCGGATTGGTGCTCAACGAGCGATAGTGTCGAAAGGCGGGCGTATTCACGGCACTAGGCTGCAGGCCCTCTTCTAGTATTTCCCTATCTCCCAGCGCCTTGATACCCGCACTTACTGCCTGCTCCCCGGCGCGCTTATTCACCGGCTCATGGGTCAGCGCCCACTCTGCCTCAGCCTCATCCGCAAGCGGTACTTTGTTGCCTGCCAAAGCTTCGCGTATAGCGCTTTCATTAAAGGCACTCGCATCCGTTTCATTTGTGGCAAAAAAGAAACTGGGACCGGAGGCTCCATCACGATAGGAATTGTTCATGACTAGCGCCAGGCACAGCGCAGCAATTACAATGACTCTGTAAAGAGGTGTTTCCCACTAAGAATTATAATGATGTACAAAAATTGGAACTGCAAAGGTTTTATGGAGCTGGTTTTATAAGCTAAAAGAAGTGCTAAGGATAATGACAGAACTTTACGAATATACCGTGAAATGCGAGTTTTATACTATACTTATATATAGTATATAATGCTCTGTAGAAGAACTGAAGAAATCCACCTACAAAAATATGTGCTATATATACAAACCGCACATTTCGAAATCTGCTTATATTAATATTCATTACTTGATTCATTATGTGAATCAAAAACGCATATACGAGTACATAGCTTTTATATTTAATACAGTGCTGTTTGGCACTTCGAATGAGCTTTTTAGCTTGTCTGACAAAATACGAATATAACATAATTTTAACTTATATTTTAAACAGCATATATCTAAAAGATTTATAGAATTGTTATTGTTTTTGATATTCGTAGCGTTACTTTCAAATCATGGATGTTAAATTCCAAACTTTTCCTGTCTGATCACAGCTTTAAGATTGCGATAAAAGGCTATGGCTATGGCTTATGTATCAAAGTAATGAGCACAAGTAAGGAACATCTCAAATAATATTCAGCTTCTATTCCACGAATTTCGTATACAGGTTTGGTTGGTATACCCTTTAAAACCTGCTATAAATTAAATAACCACAACAATAAACCTGGTTTCTTAATTGAAATGTTTCGATAAAGTGTTTCATATTCATTTCTTCACAGCTGGAAGAGCTTGAGCCATTTCAAAATGTGGTTCCTTTACAAATAGCGTTCATCATAAAACTCACAGTAGGGTGACTGTAATACAGCATTGGAATTGATTCATTTTGTTACGCCGCGAACGCGGTGACACGCCCGGAAACACATAGGCGGGACCCTGGTACGGAGGGACAGCGGCAAAGCCCGTGGACCCCGTGGTCAGCGGCGTTGTCTCGTCTGTCATTTCGAACTCAAGCGCACTCGCGCCTACAACCTACAAAGCAAATGATCAAAACACTACTAACTGGCTATGCAGTCAGCAAAACGAAGTGGCCCCAACACTTGATGGGCTTCCTGAAACTGCCACAGTTGAGTTACTTTCACTGCTCGCTATGGCACACAGACAAAGCATCTTAGTTTATAATATTTTATAATGCAACGCGTTCGCATGAGAGATGGCATTTGTTTTGCGAACGGACCCCACAAAGGTGGCGAATTGTGTAATGCGCGTGCGGTAGCTGAACAGAAACAAAGCTTCTAGTCTTGAATTAACATTAACATAAACTTTAATCATACAAATATAATCAATCTTAGCATTTACATTTCCATTGATTCATCGGGCTGTTTAAACAAGTCGGCCACATATTCATAGGTTAGTTTCAGTAAATACTGAAATGATTTTTGTTGCGGCAGATTACCCAATTCGGAGCTATCTAAGAAGTCTTCTATGGGTGGCAAAAAACTATCGGAGTCCTGACCCAAGGACTTGGATACCTTGATGACTTTAAAGAACAACAACTGTTGCATATAATCCACTGCATTGTTGGGATCATAGTCAGACCAATTATCGCGTTTTATCGCCGCACACCAGACCTTGTGCCGCATATCGTAGGGCTGATCCACAAAGTTAAGCAACTCCAGCGCCTTGCGGAAATCAAATTCGTTGGCAGTTTCATTTTCCTCCGTTATATAAAGCTGTAACGCACAAAAAAAAGTTATATAATATCACAACTCTATCATCCCTAAATCAATAAGGAGTGAGTATACAAATCCTGCTTTGTATTATGATTAAAACTATACTTACATTGATAATTTCCTCGACTTTAAGGACCTTTTGATCGGTAGCATCGAATCCGAAGCTTTGCAATACATCATGACCTAAATGCTCCTGGTATTCAATGATCAATAGGTCTGCATTTATTTGGTCTATCTGCGGCGTCAAGTTTGGATCAGCAGCTGCCAAGACAGCTAGCTTGGCCAGGGCCAGCATCGACTTCTTGCGGGCCGCAAATTCGGTTTCATTTTGGCCCAACTCGAATAACACCCTGCCCGCACGCTCGAAATCTCCGTTGAACATGAGCTGTATCCATCCCAAGGACGGATGGTCCCGCATGAATTGCGCCAATGCGGACTGGTTGCCTTTGAAGCGCTCAAACACTTCACCAGGCCGTTTCTGACGCAAATGCCAGTTGATGGCGAATTGTGAAAAATCAAAATCCTCAAATTTCCGTGTATAATCCTCGAGGCGTTCTTTATCGTTGGTCTCATCACAAATTATAACCAGACTTTGGAAATCCAGAAACTTTTCAGCCAACTTGGCGGCATACTCATACTGCTTGTCCTTAACTGCAAGAAAAAGTTGTGCGCATACTAATTTGTAGATTTAAAACTATAGCTCTTCACTCACTTAGTATAGATATGAGTTCATTGCGATGCGCTTCGAACTGCTGCTGCAGCACATTGTATTTTTCCACGTCACGCACGCTTTCCAAATAGTTCTTACGTCCATCCAGCACTATGTCTGTTAATTCTACCATTTGCTGGTACATATTCTGCTTCAGATTGATTTCATTGACAGAGTGGGCGGCATAGCGTAAGGTTATATCGATAAGGCGCGTGAGCGAGTCACGCGCGCCTACACGGCCAGAAACCGCTGTCCAGGGCAGATTTTCATATGAATCTACTTTATTGCTGGCCGGCATAAAAAATCCAGCATTCTGCTCACGATACTTCAGCACTTCCCCCAAAATGTGCAGCACAATGGAGTTGATGTCCAAAATAAATTGAGCCACAGTGGCTGTGGTTTGTTCCTGAGTCGCAACACACTCATCTGCAACATCCACGAATGCTTCGAATATGTGTTGAAACTTGCACAGCTTGACGTAAAAGATGTCTTGGACGGTGAGACTGCCCTGCGGCTTCTCATCCCATTGGGCAACTGTGGCTTCAATTACCGCATCAATCGGTTTGGGCATTTTACTTTGGATAGTACGCAGAGCTATAGCAGCAACTATTTTTTCACTAATGTCCGCAAGAATATAACAAGTGGGCTTGGCCATATTGGAGCCATTCGGTAAGACATTCAACTGCAATTAAAAAGGAATTTGTGGTAAGCTTTACATAAATATTTCTTTAATTAAAAAAAAAACCACTTGAATCAAGTATTCAAAAATATCCAAACATATTGAAACCCGTTCGTTTTTGCGAAAGAATCACTAATGTAAATGAATATTCAATGTCTCGTTCAGCTGATAAGAAATATGATTACCTTTAAATCACATCACTTTTAAGATAAAACACTAATAAAATAAAATACCCTTCATTCCAATTCTACAACTTACTTTATCCCAGAAACCATTGGAGTGTAGAAATTCGATAAAATGCTGTAAGGCAGTGCTCTTGTCCCGCAACTGAGTTATAATTTGCATGGAACGCGAACTTCCTAAGCCATGCCTATTGATGTCATGATCCTGGCATGCATCCTCCCAGCGCGGATCAAAAATGGGCAAATCTTCGGCCAGATCTTCGGCAATACCTATAACAGCCCTGTGGTAATACATGTATTCATTAATCGTGAGTATAATCGAAAGGTAATCACCTAAAGGTTAATACCTGTCTAGCTTATATGCATCCACTGGGGTGCCATCTGGATCTGATTCTGAGAACCGACGATTCAGCTCATTGATAACCGTATTGGCCATCTTGTTGTTACGCTTTAAACTGTAAAGAAAAGCAGCCTTTAAATGGCACACCTCGTCGCCCATTTCACTGTAAACATCGTCAGGATCGAGCTCAAATATATTCAGTTTGTTACAGCTTCCGCTCAGCGTGCTTTGCTCGTGCAAATTGGAAGAGACATAAAATGAGGCAGGCGCAAAAAGGTCCGGTGTATTACAAGTGCTCATATTCAACACTTCGGTGCTGTCAAAGTCGCCAGGAGTTATTGAAACGAGGCCGTGAGTGCGACTAAGGAACAGTGGTATGTGATTGCAGATGGCAGCGCAGAGAATGCGATCATCTAGCTGATGGAATTCGACCTTTTCTGCCTCAGGTTCACCCGTGGGGGCAGTATTTAATAAATGCAATGGGTAGACCACTTTCGAGGTATACAAATAAATATGCGTGCTGCTGACAATAAAGCGCAAGCTCAGGCAATCCTGCATGGTATTGGCCATATAAAATTTGTTCAGTTTAAGCGGCGTAAAAGATTCCAAGCGCATGCAATCCGTATCGGCTGTTGCCATAACTATAAAGAGAACACTAGTATTAGCCGCGCTATTAAGACAGTTAAAAATTCATTGCTTACCAACAGCGTAACACATTTGTGGAGCATGTGCTGCATTCACTGCCCCTGCCAGGATGTAAGCCTTGCCCTTGAACACATGAAAATCGAGCAAATGCATTTCAATTTCCACATTATCAGGGGACAGGCGTACATTCCAGAACTTTTGTTGAAACTCTTTGCGTATTGTGTCCACCAACTGTACATCCTCGTAAATCAGCTGCTCGGTGCTGCCCTTATTTGATAAGCACCAACGTTGCAGCGAACGATCCGAGAGCACGGCCACAATTGTTTGTCCATCATTTGAGTTGCTTTCACTGCACATGCCCACAAGAAGCTGAAATAAATATACAATTAGCCAACATAAATTGCAACTTCAATCAAGTGAGCGCTACCTGATCCTTCTCGCCACTGTTGTTCATGCCTATTAATATTGATGCAAACTTCTTGCCAAAACCACCTAGAAAACTGGTGGCCGGCTTGATGGCTTTGTGATGCAACGTATACCGTCCATTGGTCAGACAAACGCGTAAGAACACCAAATTGCAGGTTGTGGTGACGGCCAAATATCCGTTTTGTGCGGGAAGATTCAGCAGCTGCACAAACTCCTGACCATCAAGAATATTTGTAAGGTCCACAGAGTTGCCATCATGGGCAATGGATACCCAAAAGCGCACATCGCCGGGCGCAGAGACAGCAATACAGGAGGCCATTTGTTGACCCTCTGTCTGGAAAACACTGACCAGAGAGCTTTTGTGGCCAATATCGCTGTGTGGCAGAGTCAACTCCCGACATTGTGCTAAGGAACCACCTCGTCTCTGTGGTTTAAGGCTCCGAGGGGGTGAGCCTGTCTTGATGCCTTGTGACGACTCTTTGTACTGCCAAATTAACAGGCGGCGCCCTTGTACAACCTAAAAATAATAATCAACGTAATTATGCACATGTACATATACATATGTCTGTGCACGTACCCACGCCCAGCCATTCTGTGCACACTTGGCTGACACGTTGCAGGATCCCTCCTTGAAGGTCAGCGCCTCATTGACTGCCACAGGCAACGGACTACCAAAGCTCTCCACCACATTATAGTCAGATTTAATGCCCGATATTGACTGATTCGAGCGTATCGATAAGCTGAGACGACTTTAAAGGTGCCTATGTAGGATTAGGCATCATTATATTATCCACCAATAGCACTCACCTGTTACTCAGGCCGCTCTTCTTTAGGCTTCCTGGGGAAAATCCATCATTTCCGTTGCCGCCAAAAAATGACATAAAAGATTTACGCGTGCTGTTGGCGCTTGGGTTACTATATCGCTGTCCTGGTGACTCGCGCGACTCTCGAGGTGTACCCAAGAGCTGCTTTTGCATATTTCGTTCTAATTGCGACATTTTTTACAGGGTTTTTTATACTCTTCACAGCGCAAAGGAAATCAACAAACAAAATGCCAAATAGCGTGCCGGCGCCGGCGATTCCAGCTGCAATGATATTAAGCTATCAAGTTAGAGATGTGCGTGTTACCGGGAAAATTACTTTTTCACGAACTGGTAATACTGGCCATATACATGCACAAACATACGTAATACATTTATATAGACATATGTATATAAGTGGTTTAGGTACTAATAATAAAAATAATATTTTTCATATTCACACAATATATGAATTTAAATGTAATATGCAATCATGATGGATCATCTCTAGTCTAAACAGGAGCAACTTTAATTTTGCAACGTTCCTCAGTACTTGTTAAGGCTGCCAACTCGTCAAATTAAATTAATATTGCCATCACTATTCGCTGGGTAATAACAAAACTTTGGCGTAAACAATTTAATTGTTTATAATGGCTACCTGGACTCAAAATGGTCCAACAGGTGTCAGCAAACGTCGTCGCTGGAACCTAGAAGGTAAACATTATAATAGTTTGGAAATCACAATATATTGTCCCTCACTCATCAACGTAGATCGTGAGTCTTTAAACAAACTAAAGCATCACATTGCCGAGGAGGGCTGTCCACAGGTGCAATACGATTTGGCAAAGCAGCTGTTAGAGAACGCGATTGGTATGTAACTATGTTCACTTATATAGATATGTATGTATGTGTATACAACTTTCTTAGAACCAAATGTGGCCAACACGAATCAGCAGGCTGTGCATTGGCTTGTTAGTGCCGCCCACCAAGGCCACGAGGATGCGGCGAAGCTGTTGCGTAAATGCTACAAAGATGGGAGCGGCATTACACCGGAGAATGCAGACGAAGTGCGTCGCTGTCTGGCCATGACACCGGGCGAACGTGCCGCACGCAAAGCAGCTAGAGAGCTTTTTGCCTGCCTCTCGAATGGCAGTGAGCACATCACACCTAAACAGTTAGAGCGCAAGATGCGACGCATATATAATTTGCAACGCAAGCGGCGTCGTCGCGGCGCCGACGACGGTGCTGGTGGCGACGATGGCTCCTCGTCAAGCGATTGTGAGCATGAACATGAGCCACTGGAGGACGCGGCTACAATTCTACGTGGTAGTAGTGTAGAGCGTCGGCGTTTTATCACTGAGGCGCATCTTGTCTCAGCCGCTTCGAATTACAGCGCTGGTCGCATGCCGGCCGTCAATGAGACGTTGACACTGTCAGTGCCGCATCCACAGAGCCTGGATCATGTGCCTTGTTTTTACCGCATGATATTTCATCCGATCATTTTCTTCACACTACTTTACCACCGATTTGTGAATCTAGTATGCATGCTGCCCACCATGTTGCCATTAAGCGTGCGCTGCTGCCTGCTGGTGTTGCTCTCTTGGTGGACAATGCTTGGCGATGGAAGCAATAGAAGCGTTCTTCCAATCATAAGCTATTATTTGAGTCTCAGTGTTATGATGTGGGCCACATGCAAAATGCTGAAAACGAAACAACAGTTTGTGGACTTCCGCATCTGGTCCGGTTTGTTTCTGAGCTATGGTGACAATAACATCGAGGCAGACATTTCCGAGCACCGATTTCTACGTAACAACATGAAGCCGTATCTGTATTACTTCTGCGCGTTCATTTGCAATCTGGTCGTTTATCCATTGGTAACAGATGTCTGGCTACCGCATTCAGAACTCACCATAATATCGGGCGCCTTCACTTTTGTCTCCATGGGAGCTTTTATGTACGCCTCATCGCATTTCCTGCCCGACTGGTTGGTCATCGTTTCGTTTGCCGTCAACGTCCTGGCCAAATATCCGTACGAAATGGACGAAGTAGTTAGCACGCGTTGGCGCTTTCTAGATCTACGCGTACCCACCTTCTCATCATTTGTCATTGGCAATGGCATCGAGTTTTGTCTGAACTGCCGCACTGCCCTTTATCTACTGATCCCCGTACTGCTCGTTCTGTTGGCCAAGCGTTGCAATTGGCACGGCGTCTATACCTACTTGATACCTCATTGCGTCACCCTGAGTTGGCTGCAGGTGTGTATTGTCACCTCGCAAAGTGCCACAATGTTCGGAGCAATGCGCGCTGCTCTAGGGCTGGCTGGCATTGTGCTCTTCCTGCCGCTCTTTGGCATTGTGGCGCTGCTGGTACCTGTCTTTGTGGCGATAGACAATTTGGGATTAGCCAGCGAACACGTGCGCTGGGGTAGCACGGCCGTTGTTTGCGCGGTGGTTGTGGTGCTTTCCTGTGTCCTCGCTCTTAATCGTGCTACCCAAAAATACATGACCATGTTGCAGGTAAGCAAAGCCTCTTCGGAAACTTTTCAATCTTTTTACTGGATTATATTCTATCATGTTAGATGCTCATCGGTCTGACTACTGTCTGTGTGCTGGTCTTTCCCTACATGACGTCCAATTTCAAGGACTCACCCCGCTTCAATGCCGTCCCGACGCTTTCGTCGAGCAGCCGCGCCTCCAATCTCATGCCGGAAACTCTGCAATGGGATCGGTTCTACGCCCTCTGCGCCCAACCCATTCAGGAACAACCAAACAAAATAAAAACCCAGTTGCGCTGCTCCCATCTCAATGGCATGTACATCGCCTGGGAAGGCACAGTAGATCATGTACAGATAGCTCGCGTCTCCAACATGCTGGAGGATGTGATAGCCAACTATTTGCCAGTGTGGCTGGGCAAACTAGTGCGTTGCGTACATGGTGAAACCATTGCCCAAGAGCTGCAATGCGATGCCACGAAAGATGCGTATTGCGAGGAATGGCAGCGCATCGTCAAGAACCTAGGCGCACATACAGGACGCTGCACATTGCAGCGCTGGAATCGCTACGAATACGAAATTGTAGCCAAGATTGCCGCCGGCAATGGTTTGCTCAAACGTTCTACGATAGTCGTGCTGCGTGCTCATCACGATTTTGGCAACTTCACACGACAACTCCACAGTGGCGATAGGGTTCTTTTTTACGGCACGCTATATAACTCTCGGCTGTTACCAAACAAGGTACGCGAGCATTATGTGCTGGGTTCCAGCGCTCCACCACAAGTAGAGCTGAAGACAATCGAGTGCCTGGACTGTCAGTCACAAGAACTGACAACCGTGAGCATTGAACGAGCACTGAGCTCATCCGTGGACGCACGCGTGCAGGATCTAATGCGTGGCATTAAGTACTTGCTCAATGCTCTATTAAATCCGCTTATCACATTTAAGTAAAGTGGTTGCCCCACTGAATGAATGCTATTAAGACACTTTTGAAATAGTTGTAGAAATAAATGTTATTGTAATTGTTGGAATTACTTAAAATTTAGACGGTGTTACTTTTTTACATGCTGGTTACAGGGACTGCCGTTTCATGTCGCTCAAGAATACATTTTCTATATGTTTTAACAATTAAACTATCTTTGGAGTTGTTCAATCGATTTCAATTAGCTCCAATGCTACTTTTTCAATCTTATTAACAAGCGGCACACCTCGTTTATGATCAATCGATTCGGTTCCATTATTCTCGGCAATATGCTGTTCCAGAGCCGATTTAGTTGAAAACTTCAAGTGAGGACACGCGGCACAAACGTAACTTAAGGTCACCCTTAGAGTAGGCACGTTGGTTTGCGTTGACTTTATGATAACTTCGCCATTATCTGGATTCTGGCATTTTCCGAATTTGGGCAGCGATTTTGATTTGAGAATAGTGGGATGCTTGGATGGGAATACCAACTCATCCGTATCTGCCCATAGCTGGCTTTTCATTTTGGGCAATGACTTGGACTTTGGTACCAATGGCGGCGAAGGATGCGGCGATGATTCCATGACTTCGTCGGTTGCAAAATCAGAATTTATGAAAATGCTGTCACAACTGCCCTTTGAATCTAACTCCTCAGCTGGATTGAAGAGATCCATGTTCAGCTCATCCGAATGCAGTTCACATGGCTCGGTGCAAATGAAGTGCTGGATTATAAGTTTTAAGTTATTTAATTTGTTTCCTTGCCTTTTAAATACCTATGCACATACCTCGGCTGAATTACGAAGTAGATGCACTCCATCCATCAGTAGCTTCCGATGTGACCTATCAGTAATGTTCATTAATAGCAGATCAATAGGTGTCAAAAGTTTGCACCTAGCTATGGTGTCGAAGCCTTTATCAGCGATATTGTAAATGTATTTCTCCATTGTAAGTTGCACTAGCCAGTCCCTAACGGCGCGACGACACATTTTGTATAATAGGTGTTTTCTAATGTTTTCTGTGTGCGTGATTGTAAAACGTCAAAATATGCACATATGTCTGTATGGGCGAGTATGTAAATTTCGACAAGAACAAGCTTGTGTATTGACATTTAGAAAGACCATGTGCACACTTAACTGTAAATTTTCAAAAGTAGTCGATACGATCGATACTTATTCTGCGTCAAATCAAGCAGCTCGATGACTTACCTTAACTGTCGATTTATGTATGAAAATAATTTAAATACAAATAATGTTTATTCAGTTAAATTTTTTCTTTATATAATCAGATGATAAACTCACAACATAGTTTTTTGTTTCTCTAGAACTGTACCAAATTATAAGCAATTTAAATTGAATTTCTGGTCGCTTAGTGAATTTTTAATATTATAATACTTAATAGTTCAATAAGACGAATCAATAAAGTATATGTCAATAATTTATGCATTTAAATTCATCTAGTAGCTTTTTAAATTGCTCCTTTGCAAACACGTTCGTTTTTTAAAAGTCCCGTTGAATTCATGCTGCCAGCTTGCTTTAAAATCGATATAGATGGCAGCACTTGAACTGGGAATTGCGGCCCTCGTTGGATGATTTGACTCGTTACAAAGTTATGGACTCATTCCTACACAAGTGCACATCTCGAGTTGCTTTAATAAAACGCTGAAAATGACGGCAAACTTATAGTTTGTTCTGTTTTGAGTTCATTGCAGAGTGTATTCAAGTGCGGACTCGCGCGGTTCCTCCATACGAGTCGCAACACTAACACACGTGTGTCATTACTCATTAAACACTAGCACTACCTACTTTAAAGTGTGGGCGCTTATCTGCAAGGGCTAACAACAGAAATTATTTACCAACAGAATTGGAAGCGCTGTTGCTCCCTCTGCCGTCGCCGCCATCATGATCCCAACCATAACCAAGAACTATCAGAACGTAGTGATTAGCACGGGCAACATCATTAACAATGAACTGGGGCGCAAATCAAACGAGGAGCTGTACGATGGGCTGAAAATAACACTGCACAGTGACCCAAATGCGGAACGCGTGGTTGTCGATATCGATGAGCTGCACGGCCGTGTGCAAAGGGCCACCCAGGAGCTAAACAGCAAGCTGACGGAGAACGGACGCAATGAGATTAGCATTGGTGCCAAGATATTCCTTAACAAAAACTCATGTGATTGCGTGCGGGAGGCCGTAGACACCCTTCTAAACATACTCAATGTGACTCATGTAGATAATGTAGTATTGGCCTATCATCCCAATGTAACGGGCACAGCTGGCGCCGCAAAATCCGTTGCCAGCGCAACGTCAGCGGCCACAACAGCAACAACGGAGACTACAAAAACACCTTGCAGTGACGATGATGTAGGTGGCAGCAGCAGCAGTGGCAGCGTCAACAGTTGGAGTGCGCGCAATGGCGCCGAAGGATTGGCCGAACTGAAAGACCTATATAAATGTTTGGAACTATATGCACAACAGAAAAAGATTACACAATTGGGCCTGGCCGATCTGGATGTAGAGGCACTTCGAGAGTTGCATAAGACAGCAAAAGTTGCGCCCACCATTGCACAGGTGAATCTAGCCACCTGTTGCGTGGTGCCGGTGGATCTGCAGGACTTTTGCACCGCCAACGATATACAACTCAATACCCACGGTGATCCAGAGTTGCTGTTGCGCGAGGAACAGTTCCAGGGCTTAGCTCCAGGCTATATAATTGATTGGTCACTGCGCTACCAGGTTCATGTACGTTGTCGAGGCGTGCTTACGGCCAAGGGCTACATTGTTGGTGCCTCAAAGCCGCGCGCTAAATAAGGCAAGGCGGGGTTGACCCTCGACCGCATCGTGTTTTAAGGCATAGTTCGAAGCTAAGGTGTAGATTATACATATTATATACATATATATATATATATATATATATATATATATATATATATATATATATATATATATATATATATATATATATATATATATATATATATATATATATATCTATATACTTTTGTGTATGTACTGCTGTTTGTATGTATGTATGTTAATGATGATTGTAGTAGTGTACTTATTCTTTGTTGTACAAAATCGAGAAGGGAACAGAGCGCGTTGTGGGAAAGTCGCGCGCGCAATAAATTTATTGATTTTATTGTATACAGTTATTTTAATTTATAATCCCTATTTTTTAAATACAAACAGTTTGAAAACTAAATTCTGCTATGCTGTTACTCACATCTTTGTTGTTTTATTACTGAGAGAGTTAAACCGGTTTGTGCATTTGGCGCATAAATTACGCATACGCCAGGTGGTGCAATTTATATTTGTACAAACACAGAGCGAATTGGCTAGTGCACAGTGCTCGGAAGCTTGATTTGTGGCAATCGCCATTCAAAACTTTTTACGATCCTAAATAGAGAGTGTTTCATTTTTTATTTTTCACCCACTAACTAGTCTGGCTTGTTGTTGTGCCTAATTAAAGGCAGACGATAGATCACGTGGCTGGTGCTTTAAAACGTGCGTTGTCATATTTTTAAATTAATTCACATTCGCTGTAGGTAATCGTATTGAAACAAATTTTCGAATCAGTCGGCAGTCAACCGGCTAATACGTATGTATGTATAAACAGACAAACATATACGAGTATAGACATATGTATGTACATATGTGCTTATACTTTATGTGTATTGTATGTGTCTGAGGGATTTGACAGACGGAGAGATATTTTTAATGCGGTGCTATGCATACATACATATACGAGCAAATGTATAAATGTACTATACAGTTAGTTCTTATCAAATTTCCATGACCATTAACAATGCCATATACCAAGCAAAAAAAGACCGAACAGATATTTTAAATATTAAATATTGCACATATAATAAACAATTATTTATGACCATTGTATAATCCAAAAGAAGGGTAATAGCCATTGCTCGAAAATGGTTGCCATGTGAGGGCAGCCATTGCAGCAAAAATGACCTTTGCATCGTAGTTGAACTTTAAAGAACACTATCCAAAATTTACAGAAGTTGGGAGTACTCGTATCTTCAGCAATCCTTGGAGAGATTCTGCAGTGTTGACAAGACATTCTAATACAATGGGCCTAAGAATACTGATTGTATGCATGTTACTTGTATAAGATCTGATACCACTTTCCCATCATAAAGCTAATAATTCTCAATTCATGTATGTAGCAAGCATTGTAAATATTTAAAGGGTTAAGGGAAGGCACAATTATTTTCGTCTTGTTTGACTAAAATTGTAATTTTCAAGTCGATAGGACAATTTTAAATTGTTTTCATTCATTTTACATTATTCTCGCATTACATTCAGTAGTGAAATTTTTAGTAAAATTAACTTCATGATCATGGAGAGATATTATAGCGCTGTCATACTTATTTTAATACGTCATACTATGTTTCAATATTTAAATGTCGAACAGCAGCCTGAAATATTTTAACTTAAACAAAAAATGTACCTTTATTAAATACAAATGTGTGTGTTTATTAAAATTTTTTATATCAGTTTGTACTAAAAGTCTCTAATAATACCAGTCAGCCATTGGCAGGAAAATTAATTAAACAGTCGCGTCAAAATATGGTATATAAGATTTTAAGGTAAATAATATTTTTTTTCCACTGTGCGCCGACATTAACGCCATCAACATCATCGGTATTGTGGCAAAGCCTTTTGCATGTTTTAGAAAACATTAAAGGTCTAATTAAAAGTAATTGTGTCTCTATTGTTACTGACACGGTGTCTTTCTATATACATACATATTTGTGTATGTATTTACATATGTATGTAAATAAATCAGCCAACCAAAAACGCGTCATGTGCATGAGTTGCCACAACTATATACATATGTACATACATATACATATGCCTGTCATATTACCCACGAAATTGAAAAATGTTAACCTAATAAATGACATGGAACATTCTGGAATATTATTTAATGTCTTCACAAAATTCTTGCCTATATACGAGTATAGATACATACATAAATACATACCTGATGGTATATGCTACATAACCATACATATGTACATACATTTATTTATTTGACTGCCACACGTTATTTGTACGTTATATGTCTACGTATATGTACATATGTGTATGGAGTGAATGTTTGATTAAAAATACTAAAAATGCTAAACAAAAGTCAAAAAAAAAAAGCAGATAAAACTTTCTTTGCCATACTGAAACTTATATACACTTCATAAGTTGTTTGCTCGTATTTTCTCTTTAATATACAGTATCCTATTTTTTACATATTAAGGTGAATATTTATATGTAAAAGTATATAGGGGAGAATGTGAGAATTTCAAGACCAAAAAAACAGACAGAATGCTCATGTTTATGTCCAAATATGTATGTATATATATTTGAATAGATAAACAACTCAATATTAGTTTACATTTTCGATTATGGTTTTCTTTAGAAGTGATTTGAAATAAATAAAAAAAAATCAAGGAGCTGGTTTGTTTTGAGCAAACTATTACATACATAAGTTATATGTAAATGCACTACCACGTACAGAGCGAGAGAGAGAGATCGCACTTTGTATTTATAGAACAAAAACACATCAATGTTTTCAAATCGAAATATGTTTCCTCAATCAGAAATGCCACACTGATCTGAGTCGATCAACTACAATTTATTTTGATTAAAAAAAAAGTGCAGCTAATTGAATGAAAATGCGTTTCAAACCCAATCCTTAAGCTATAATACCCTATGCTAGAGTATTCAAATAAAAGCATTTGCTTTATATTGACTGACTTTGCTTATCGGCTGCTCCATAGTCGTGACTTGCGTTTCCAAAGGCCACAATAAACACAATGCGTGCGAGTGAGTGCGCGATAATTTGTGCGAGTGAGCCAACCTATCATTTAGTGTTTGATGATCCACGAATAGTTTGTTTTGGAGATATCTTATTTCGTCACAAGACGATGACGCATGCGTGATCAATAATTAAGGTCGTGTATTTAAAGATTCTCAACAAAAACAAAACAGGCTGACCGGTTTAAACTGTTGTATCTCCGAGTATCTATGTTTGTGCAAATATTGCTCCCATATTTTAATATTTGACAATAATAGGAACTCTTTAAGTAAGTTATCAATTTCTTGTTGCTTTTGTTTTGTTGACAATGTGCAAAAATTCGCTATGTGCTAGATTTATACATATTTTGGACGTATGAGAAGTTTGTGCGCCCTGTACGTAGTTGAAAATAAGGAAACCCTACCTTGTTTAAGCTATAATATTTTAAAATAAACCATTAATCAAATATGAAAAGAATAACAAAACCAATAAAAAAAAAAAAATACAAAATTCCGAAGTGCTGCAAATTCTAAAGCAAACAAAAGTTTCGGAAATACCTTCGCTCTATGCAACAATAGTCAATAAATATAATAAAGTCGTATTCATATGGCCTTATTATAAGTTGTATTGTATTGTTGTATTAAAAATTGTGTTAGAGCGAGCAATAGCAAATGATTGTTAACTTTTAAGACGGACAAGGAGGACATGATATATGACGGAGGATATGATAGAATATTTGCAATATATAGTACATATGTGCATAAATAGTTCGGAAGCTTTCACAGTTGAAAAGATCATGTATTTCTGTATATGTATTTCTCAAAATTTTAAATTTTCCGTTTGGCTGCTACATATATGCATATCCAATTGACTGTTGCGCCTCCCCTCTGCGCGTTTGAGGAATACTCTATAAAAAATATTTATAATTAAAGTAAGCATGACGAGCCATTACAGCAGCACGCAAAGCGTATGGGTAATAAATTTCAATAATCTAAGAATGCAAAAACAGCATTCATCTTTCGTTTCACTGCATGACTGGGCTACTTGTATTTCAACTATTTCGCAAGATCTGAAATAAGTGCACGGAAATAATTTGTTATCCATAGTTTGAGTTCGGAATCAGAGTGTTTGGGCTTGCTATATACATATGTAGATCAGCAGCGATTAGTCGGCAGTAAAAGCAACAGAAAGAGAGAAATTAGTTATAAATTTAAGGTACTAGCTTAGAACTACTAGATAATGCATCTTAGTTGGGACGGGAGCGCAGGCACATACAAGTAGCTTGGGAAAATAGGTAAGCATTTATCAAACAAGTAAAAATGTTAAATAGTACATACTACAATCTGTTCGACTGTGGAATACTCTTGCTGATTGATCGTGACTGCCATTTGTAAAGAACTTTATTTTAAATAAAGTAAATTATCTTCCTTTGCGATTTATGTATTTTTTAATATAGATACAAGATTTCTTTTTAAAAAATATCTAATTTATTTATAAACCTATAACAATAAAATTCTAAGGAATAAGAAAAGTAATTATAATTCAAAAATATAATAAGATGCTTTCGCTTTGATAGAACGGATAAGCCTTAGATGATCACGAGATATTATAATGATTAAGTCATACCTACTTACATTTTTTTATAATACAAGTATTTCAATCAAGTGAAAACACCGATTATACGTATGGTTGTTAAATGATATAAGTACTATAATTTACCCATTTATAAAATTTCAAATTATGTTACGAACTTGGTAGAACGACAATTGATTTTTAGCTAGCGACGATATACTATATTGCTCTAGTATTTTCTGGGGTTTGTGGTCTGCCACTCCTCTTTCCACCTTTTAAATACATTTAGCGCCTTAATTTTCTAGTAAGCGTAAGGATACGCCTTGCTATAATGGCTCATAAAAACGAATAATGCAACTGATCGGAGCCAGCAGCACCAAAACCGAAATAAACATTATCTCAGCCGTAAATACTGTGGTTGTTGAAATTAATGTTAGAACGGAATAAATATATATTTAGATATTCTACCCTATATATTTATTAATAGGCAAACGTCTCTGCTAAAAGACTTCATATTAATATATTTATTACAGTTGATGCTTTTTAAATATTTATCAGTTGAAATAAGAAAGCAAGCATGCAGTTGCACATTTTTGTGTTTGCTGGAGAATCAAGAAGCATCGGCAAAATAAATCAATAACTGACGTATTCAATTGGTAATGTAATACATGTTTAAACAAGTCAATATTTAACAGACAAAGGAAATTCCACTTATGATTGCTTGTAGAGTTCGCACAGCAAGAGGATATCCAACCCCCTCTCCACCCCCACGCAATCAGCATAAAAGGAGAAGACTGCTTTTAATTTACACCATAACAGTTGTTAAGTCTTTATTAAATTAATTGAATATTCTTGGAATGCTTACTCTCTCGTTTCAATTGCGAATTATTGCGCACTTCCGCAGCTACTTCATTTATGCCTTTAACATGACTCTCCTTAGAATTAATTAAACATTTATCTTTAGTGTGGCATTTGTAATACGATCTTCTGTTAATATTAATTGATATCAATTGTATTTTATTTAATTTTACATAGTTAACACACACCAACAAAAATACACACGCTGATTAGGAATGTTGCATATACATACAAGTACGATTAGGTTTAATGTGAATTACACATAATGTGGCTGTAGGTCTATAATACTCTATAATATAGTCGAAAAACATGCACTTTCCAACCGAGTATGCTAACATTCAATTTACAATGTATGCCATATAACTAATACATTTACATTTAATTGTAAGTCTGCGTGCACTAATTACACAATGTTGTCCGACTTTTAACATTTAATTACAATTTATTACAATCATAAACAATTCACGATTACTTATTCATAATGTAAATTATAAAAAATACGCTTTTGGGGACTTTGGGGACGGACACTATTTGCTGATAAATTGAAATTCTTTTTAAATAAGCGGCATTTGAAGAATTTGAAACATTCAAATATATATATGCATATTAATTTAGATATAAATAAGTGCCTTTTTCGTTGTTTCTGACAATTAAATAATTAAGCAATGAAACCGGACTGTTGGTCTGGACTGAAATTATAGGGTACATATCTTTTATTTCATCATATCAGATCGGGAAAATGTTAATTGTAGTACAACCTCCCTTTTTTAATTAATCTGATTGTGAACGATTTTCAGCTTTTTTCAGATGCTGCCTTTGTTTCAAAACAGCGGAAAGATCGTTTCGAAGCGTCCGTCTGTCATTCGGTTAATTAGGTTAATTAAGGCATTTTGGGATTAAAAAGAATTAATATAATTAATCATTTAAAAATGTTTAAATTGTTGGTCAAATTTGTTTGTAGATTATATTATCATTTTATTTATTTCATAAGACTCAACGTTTATCTTCTTTCTTGAAGATTTCCATGCCAACTACGTTTAGTTAAATTCGCATTAATTCTGTTTCCATTATACATTTGTCAACAATATACACTATGTAGGGGTGGTGTCGAGTATTTGGTAGTGCTAGTACTGTAGAATTATTAATGGATGATCTCTAAAAGACTTGTAACATAAGTAAGCTTGAGAATAACAAATCTTCTTTTTATAGCAACAACACAACTAAGCCGAACTACGTGTTCTGTATTCTAGGATAGCTAGGATTTACGATTTTGCATAGTACAGTTTTATTTTTGGCGGGCTTTGATAAATGACATTTCTTAAATAGGGCTGTTTCAACTTTGATGTCATAATGTACAAGTAATTTTATAGCTGTGCGGGAATTGTGGAGAGAGTTACATTTCTCTAGATGTGAAGGGGCTATAAAATTGTTAAATGCTAAAAAGGATGGAAACAATTGTCAGCAACTTTTATACTGATAGATGGTAGAGAATACAACATTTTATTTTCAATCTGTAACAGATCTGTTGCTAATTCGTTTTTTCATTGTTTTTCCAACACTTAGATAAAACAATAGGTAGTGCTAATATATATAAAAAATATTGCAAATTGGGGTTTGAATTCCTTTTATTTTGTTTAGAATCATCATTTAATGGACTATCCAATTGTTTAGTGCTAAGTGTAACGTATATTTCAAATTCAATGGAACTGCAAATTGCACAACACACATCGAGATAGTTTAGGATAGAGAGCGTTAGACAGCTACAGAGACACTTAAAATGCATATTGACAATATTGTAAACCCATTTGTTTCTATTCACTTGTGTGTTAACATCTAGATTTGTTTAAAAGATGTGCGCCTAAAAAATTACCACAAAAAATACATACAATCAAAATGTTTATTTTCTCGCCTTTTTTTTTTTTTGCTAAACTACAAAATACAAACATACAATAAAAACATTTACGCATACGTGTATACGTATGTATGCCGCGCTAGAATCTAATTTTTATATGTATGCCATATAGTAACTATATATGATATAAGTATGTACGAGTATGTATGTATGTGTGGGTGTATGGGTGTTTCTTTATGTAAATTTCTTGCACTTAAACATTAAGCAGCGAACTGCGTGTAAAAACTTTGAGCTCACGCCTAAAACAACTAACAACAATCTAAGTGTGTGCGTGTGTTCTGTGTATGTGTGTGTGTATGTATTTAATGTATAATGTAAAACTATTCAAAATATAATACCATTACATTAAAATTGTAATTTGTTTCTTCATTTTGTTTTCTCTTTTAAATACACAAGTAATTCAGTCTAATTTGGGAATTGGTCGTCAAACTTCGCTGGGGGATCGGGTTACCCTAAAGCAAAAACCAAATCATAAAATTTACAATTTAACCAACTAATTATTGGTATACTTGTATGCATGAGTGTGTGCATGTTTTTATGCGTATGTATGTATGTATATTTATGCATCTATAAACAATGGACGTGCCTGCAAAATTTGCTTGCTTCTGCGATTATGCGATGGCAAATTTTGGAGGCTATTCGAGTCTTAGCTGGATGGAATGCTGCGCAGCAACTCAAAACCAAGAGTACAGTACACGCTAAGTAAAGTAAACAAGCATTAACAAGTTTTAAAAATCTGCTTTTGAATACTTTGACAACTTAAGTGTCATAAAGTTGAAGTTATTACGATAGCTGGTACATATCTCTTTTGCAAAGATTTTTTGGATAATATCAAATTTGATTTGTGGAACATAACAGATCTATTCTTCATAGTTTCAAATGTATTACAAATTCTCCCAATGGCTTATCAAACGGCAATGTTCGGATTTTAATGGGTTCCCTCTTCGTCGGAAATAGAAAATCTTTGATATAAATGTTCCGAGCCCGATATATTCAGGATAAGACATTACTTTGGCTATTCGGTAGCTGTTATAGCTCTTGATATACCATGACACAATCAACAGCAAGCAACAGCCTTGGGCTTAAGTGAAATTTTGACCGCGATATTATACCTGAATACTGTAATTGAATCAGAATAGAATCTGCTATAATTGTTCGGTCAAGAACCAGTAAGTATTCTCCCCATGGTTTCAAAGACACCCTTTAGCAGACAGAATACTTGTAGAGTTGAGGTTAACTATTCTGAAAGAGAAGTTCTGATTACATCAGTTTGTTTCAGCTAGCGTGCACTGTACTACTACATATATAATAATAATATTCAGAGAGCAATTCATAGTTAACACCTACATACATACTATTCGAGTATGTAGGCAATTGTACGGCGGACACAATTTGTATGTGTTTTCTGCTCTTTTCGGAGCCCTTGCTTATAGTCTAAGTGTTACCCGTTTGTTTTACAATTTGTTTGTTCGAATTTGTTTGCTTTTAGATCAAGTGCGACTTGCGATTGGAGTGCTCGATGGCGGCGAGCAATTCATGCTTCTGTCGCACATATAGTCGCCCCTTCTTCCAGGGATTCTGGAGCTGTAACGGCTTGAAATCGTCGCGTAAGCAACGCTCTCGCGCCCCAATAACAGCGACCAGACAAAAATTGTCCAACATATCGGCACTGTAGATGGGACCCTTGCTCCCCTTTAGCACTGCGGCCATGTTCAATTGCTTGACCACCAGATTGATCACCTCCCTGGCCGTCGTCTTGGGTGTAACGTGGAGCTTGAGACTCGTGCCGCTGGCCAGGCCGGTGTTGTAGGCTGTGTAGACCTGAATTATACCGGCGGCTGTGCTTTGGTCCGTGTTGAGACTGGAACAGCTGCCCGTGTCCTCCTCACTGCTCTGTCGGGACAGGCTCTTCGTGGAGGAGGCCTTCGATGTGGTGGGTTCTTCGCCAGCAGCCACTTTGGAGCTAAGGTTCGGCTTCAGTTCCGGCTGCAGGGCGGCCAGTGTGGACTTTAAATAAAGTCCACCCTCGCGTAAATTGATACTGGACGCTGCCTTGGCCTTGTACTCAGCTGCAACGGGTTTCAGCGGCTTGTGCTCGAGATCTGTGGCAAAGGTGCCGCTGCGCAATGAAACGCTGGAGCCGCCAGCGGCCAAATAGGGCGCCGAACTGGAACTATGGACCGTAATAAGCGGTGGTGTGGTATGACTGCTATGAGCGATGTTGGAGCTGGTCCGTTTGCGCTGCGCCGATGCCGCTTGGGAGTGACGCAGTGCGTCTGCGAGCGTGTCGTCAGAGCGCGAGGGCGGAATGGCAAAGACACTGCCGCTGCCTTCGGAGCTGCCTGTCACCGCCGAGTCGGCGGCTGAGTAGAAGCTGCGTGCCGTGTAGGCCGAACTGACCGAGTCGCCGCTATTCTTGCGCAGCGACACATCAGAGGTGGAGGCGTAATCGCTGGCTACCTGCAACAGTTGTTGTTTGGAGTCCGACTGTGCTTGGGATTGGCCGGCTGGTACCTCAACGGGCGTGGGGGCGGGACTGGGCTGAGCAGAGCCGGGCGTGATAGCGCTCAAGCCTAGGTTCTGTTCGGACTTTGAGTGTTCCGGTGCATAGCTAGTCCCACTGCCACTACTGCCATTCTTATCTTCAGCGGCGCCTGGTCCGGGCCAACTGCCGCGTCCAGTACCCGTCTTGGCGAACTTGGACTCGCGTATGGGCAGCTGAAGCAGCTGCTTGGAGGAGCCCGTGGAGGCATCGTCGCGTGCCTGTGCAATGTCTAGAATCTCACGCATGGCTAGCGATGGTTGGGCATTCTTGTTGCGCGCAAAGGCAATGACATCCATCAGCCAGCGAACGCTCTTCCACACCAGCGTGAGATTCGCGCTCAGCTCGTGCAACGTAGCCAGACGCTCCTTGGCAGTCTGCAGCTCGCTGGTGGAGAAGGCTTCACGATGCGAGTGTGTGGCCAGTGCAGTGTCCAGTTCGAGAATGCAGGAGAGACGAGCATACTTCTGTATAATGCCCGGCTGATAGGTGCGTAGATGAATCATCTCGAAGGCCTGAATGCTTAGGCAGGCGAGATCATCGCGTTGTAGCAGCAGCTCCGATTGGCCCGGCACGGCACAGGAGGCCTCCACTGCGGGACAGACAATGAGGAAGCTAATGTCGCGACTATGCTCTATAACTTCCACATCATATAGACGATGCGTAGCCGCCTCCGTGGGCTTGATGTTCATGCTGGCGAAGAGCTTATGCACGGCATTGGTGAGATCGTAAAGGAACAGGCGCTGCACTTCCGTGCTCGATTCTTTGTTGGCGCTTAGCTCGAGTGGCAGACGCAGTGAGTCCGTGCCCGAGTTGCTGCTAGGTCCGCGCTTCAGCACCTGCCACTCCTCGGCCGTGATGTGACTGTTCTCCCGCACCTTGCAATGCGGAAGCACATTGGGAGTTTTCACCGGCACCACCACCTGAATCTGATCCATGGAACACTGCATCTTCAGATAGCCCAGATATAGGCCAGGCTCCAGACGTTGCAACGCTGCCTGCTGGTAATGTATTTGCTCCCCAATGGATGAGATGAGCAGCTCATTGATGTTGTAGTCCTCGTGCAGGGCGCCAATCTTCTTCTGCAACTTGTTGACTGGCAGCCAGCGCGAGTTCAATATAGACACGGCCTTCTGACTTTTCACGGCCTGTATGCAGGCCAGCACCACAGTGCCCTGAGCATCACGTAATGGCTTATAGTACAGCTGGCCGAGATCTGTGAAGCCCAGAGCGGATTGCATTTGACAGACGGCCGATAGTAGTTTCGTGCGAAAATGTCCAGCCGATGTAAGATTGCGCTCCATATCGGTGCGTAGGGATTTGACATCGTCCCAGGTACAAGCCACCTTCATTAGCCAATAGTAGTCCGCGTGTAGAGCACTTGGATAGGACTCGTCGATCTCGATGACAGGAGGAAAGTCCTCGCTTGTCACCAGCACCTTATCATCGCAGTACACCAAGCAGGATAAGTAAATTCCTCTGCAAATAAGAGATGATTAAAAGCATATTAGTTGGTTCGTAAAAGAAGCGTATCTGCAAATTTTAAAGACTTCAGAGGTAAACAATGTTGGTTTACTTCAATTTCCTTTATCCTAAAAGAAGGTCAATATTGCCTTAAAAACATATTTATGTTTAAGTTAGAAGCGGCTTGAAGTCTTCAGAATATTATTTGAAAATTCAAGTTATAGCATTAAGACGTAAGTATTCTTAACCCACAATTAGTATTAGTTTAACCTTTCTTTTATCAGCTGGCATAAGAGATCGTTCAATCAGTTAGAGTCAGCTACTTATAACTAAATATAAATTCAAAAGATTTATTTATATAAAGCAATACAGTTTTTAATGTTGGAGCTATATCGAAACAACCTTTGTTGGTCTCTTTGCAAAATATATATTTCTCTCGTACAGAATGAAAAGTAACGAATAGTATTTGTTTTATATTCAAATTATTTAGATTACTACATAGCTGGACTAAAATAATTTTGTAGTTCGTTGATACTGAAACCCCAATTATTTTCAATTCTCTATTAAACTAGTTCTTCCAAATCTATGCCATTTGGAAAAGCAGAAAGTATATATTATTTGTCTCGCTTCCATTTGGTGGGTTCGTAAACATCTTGCTTTTGACTTGACTTACCTGCGCAGCGTCTTCTGGAACTTGGAGGCAACGGAGAAAAGCTGTTTGATGGTGGTTTTCTTTTTGGGATTTCGCCGTTGCACGCTGGTCGGATCTAAGCTTAGCTCAGAGACATCCGCGGGTCGCGCCAGACGCACTGCCGTGAAGAGGTTATCGAGTATACGTTGACGGCCCAAATAACGATCCTCACGGTTGTCCAAATCGCGCCAGGCTGAAATAGAAACGAACCTTTACACGACTGTTTGAGCATTACTGGGGGCGGCTACTTACTAGAGGGCACCACGCTGGAGGGCACGGAGTTGCGGTAAGCACCCCAGCCCTTAACATTGCCGCATGCAGCGCGCAGGAAGTACCGTCGTCCCTGCGTTAAGCCACCAATGTGGCATTGGGCACCCATGGTGCCATGAAAACTTATCCACTCCATCAGCTCCCGCTCGCCCACCACATTGTTGAAGTCCGCGCGCGTTGACCATTGCACTGCAATATTTTTGAAGAAAATTAGGTCATTAAAATCAAATGCTACATCACTCATCCACGGGACAATTAGTGCGGCTACCCGCAGCAGGATTAATGGTAAATGTAATTAAGACAAATGCAGTTCAAACCACATGTTTTTGGTTTTGCCTGCCTGTCAAATGCGGGGCCGCCTACCTTTGAACTTTGTGCCGATGGCGCCGTCAAACGGCTCCAGTATTTGCACTGTTATAGAATTATCGCCGGTTACATCGACGGCCACGGAGGCGGGCGCATCTGGTGGACGCGCCTGATCCCAGCCCAGCAGCATGCGACGCAAGCCCTTGACACGCCGCTCCCAGATGCCAATCTGCTTGTCCACCTCATTGCCTGTGCAGCCAGTGACCGAGGAGCCCGTGTTGCCTGCGTGCATCAATGGAAATGAGGCATTGTAATTACACTACTCAAAACAATTTGTGCTCAACTGCTTATCAAAAAGGCACTTAAAGGCGGTACTTTAAGTAAACAATGTTGTTAAAGGACAAGTTATTTAATCCTCGATATTGTTATTCAATCTTCGTAATAACACCATATGAACTATGAATTGAATTAGTTTTCTAAAACAAATATTTATAAAATACGTATCCAGAGAAAGGTTACTGAACACTTAATGTCTTGATGTTGATACTTCATGACCCTTCAATTATATTAATACTATAAAAACTAAAGTATAGTCCATTTCTTCCTTTCATTTGAATATTCATCATGCACTATCATACTTTTGAAATCATCTTAAATGAATGATATACATATGAAGAGTTGTAGAATTTCTGGCTCCGCAGATGTTAGGTTTTAGGAAATAAAATCCATGTTAAGAAAAAAAAGTTTTCTCTGAACAATTATGTATAAAGTATACTGTTTGTATGTGAATAAAAGGTTTTTCTGTCATATTTACGAAAAGCAAATTAAATATAACTTTCTTAATATAAGAAACCTATTTATCCTTATTGAAACATTATTTTGTCATTTGATTTAGGGAAAATGAAATTTGTGTGTATCTAAAGAAAATAAAATCCAATTTTAAACTAAATTATAAAAAGAGGTCAGATGATCGGTTAGACTTTGAAATTTGCCAACGATAGCTAATACTCTTAAAAATTGAGTCTTGCTGTGCTGATAGCTACAATTAATGGTCCTGGGAAACACAACTCAAGCTGTTTATTTATAAGGCGCCTTTAAAACAGATCTCAAAAGCAGAAATGTCAATTAGTTCACTTAAAAAACCAGCTGTCTATCTTTTGTTTTCGAATTTGTTCGATAGTGTAAGCGTCGTTTAATGACGCATTTGATTGCCGTTCCGTAACGGCTCCACTTGTGCGTGCATTGTACGGCATTTAATTAAGAGCCCTGTCTGCTTTTGCTGCTTACCAATTATAATGCTCGATATGGAGGGACGCGAGGCGAAGATGGGCGGACAGAGCGCCTCCGGACCGCTCAGTTCGTGTATTCGTGACTCGGCATCTTTGAGAAGGCCATTTAATTTGGTGCCAATGCTGTCCACAGAGACTGTTCGAATGAGTTATTTAAATTACTGCAAAATGAGCAATGCACTCGCACTTTATTGCACTTACACTGTGATCCCTCCACGGCGCCATGTTGCAGGAGCATTTTTGTCATGGAACGATTGTTACTGAGGACGGCAACATCCAGGGCAGACAAGCCGTCCGTATTGATGCTGCAGATGAGAAAAGCAAGGGAAATTGATGATAAAGCAAATAGTCACTTGAATTGCAGGCAGGCACTTAAAGCCGCATCGAATCCAAACTGAAACTAAGATACAAGTCGAAAAACTACCATTTGAATTTATCAGTTTCGCAACGGTAGTGGTAAAAAGAGATTCAAAAGAGATTCTTATTCCCTAAATGTGCAAGGCCTTGTCTCGAAATCTGAGATTCCTTTAGTCTACAACAATTCTACAATGCCAATACTCTTCGATATAGTGGTAAGTTAACGAGCAGTTTCTAAAAGAAAGGTTCTCTTTGCATTCATTTTTGATTTTTGGGTCTAAATCTGAGCAAGAGATATAAATAGTAAATCTTTAGTTATGAAATGATTTAAAAACGTGAATAATAAGCTAACCAACGATTAAATTATTTTATAATGTCTAATTATTATATTCTAGATATATTCTCCTATCCATAGGTTGTTCAAAACAATAACTAGATTGGCTAGATCGATTACGAAATGTACATAGATCTATGTACATCTGAAGAATATTGTGTTTAATTCCTAATAATTTCAGTTAAATTAAATTAAATTTGAATCAAATCGATTTTAAAATAACTTGCTGATATTTAAAATTAGCCAAATATTCATATAAACAATATTTCGTTTCATTCCTAATAATTTCAGTTAAATTAAATTTGAATTAAATCGATTTTAAAATAACTCGCTGATATTTAAAAATCGCCAAATATTCATATAAGCAATCCTAACCCAAACGCGCAGAGTACTTTTAGAAAATTATATTTTATAAGTAGTATATCTATAATTATACCCTGTACCCGTAGGGTAAAAAGGGTATATTAGGTTTGTGCAAAGTATGTAACATACAGAAGGAAGCATCTCCGACCCCATAAAGTATATATGTTCTTGATCAGCATGACGAGAGAAATCGATCTACACATGTCCGTCCGTCTGTCCGTCCGTCTGTCCGTCTGTCCGTCCGTCTGTCCGTCCGTCTGTCCGTCCGTCTGTCCGTCTGGATGAACGCGAGGATCTCAGAAACTATAAAAGCTAGAATAACCAAAGTTGGCATCCAGATTCTCCTAGGTCCGAGTAAGGACGAGTTTATTTTTTTTTTTTAATTTTCCCCCCCTTCCCCCGCTGCAGAATTTCGTCAATAGCGTCCACATTTCAAATGCTACCTAAACCAAACTTTGCACACATAAATTATATATAATTGTCTATTGTTGTTCAAAATTTTATTCAATTCGGTCAATTCTAAGAAAAGTTATTAGCGAAACAAATTCTCGCCAGTACAACCCCCACAAACTGCAGCAACAAGTTCGCTCTTCTTCTTCCTCTTTTTGCTGCTGCTATGGGCGCATATAACTCAGTGACGGAAGTTTACCTGGGTACAGGGTATTACACTGTCGGGCTTGCTCGACTGTAGCGTTCTCTCTTGTTTTGACATAATATAGGTATATGTTTTAGTAATCCAAGTGGAGCTATTTATGCATACCTGTTCACATCAACATCGGTGGACTCGAGTATGGTGCGCGCCTTCTCCAGATGTCCGTGCTCCACAGCGGAGAAGAGAGCTGTGAAGAATTGAAATAAATATTAATAATTGTAGAATTGATTGCCAGTTTATTGGTTAGTTGAGTATTTGATTAGTGCATAAAACAATGGCACAAGTCGACGCTAGTCAGGACGCCTACCATGCAAGTGCAGATTACTCTGAGTTAGTTTGTCCAGTTGGGCCTGCGCCATTTTCAATTGCTTCTTGGACATTTTGGTGCCACGTGGATGTGGCGTGTTGCCCGATTTGCTGCGCAAGGCCAACGGCTGACGATGCACGGATAATTGTTGTACATTGACTGCCGTATTCTCATCGGTAAGCACACCATGATGATCGTCCTTTAGCTTGGCATTTTTGGGCTGTGAGTGTCGCGAGATGCACAGCTGGGATTGGGACTGGGATTGGGATTGGGATTGGGGTTGGGATTGTGGTGCTGCTGATTGTTGTCCATGTCCGGCTGTTGTCTGTACACTGGCATGTGGCAACAGAAATTCCATTTCCTTGAGATCCTGTGCGTTGCATGAAATGGCGCTTCGTATTTTGGCTACAGCTGCCGCATGTTGCGTCTGCAACTGCTCCGACCAGCGAAAATTACTGCCCACTTGGGTATAGTGGCTGCCGTAGTTATTACAACTACTAATATGATTGTTATTGTTATTATTAATGTGGTTGCTGCTGTTGTTATTGTTGTTGTTGATGTTGTTGTTAATTGTGCGGCTTTTATTGCGCAGCTTCACTTGATCCTCGGCATAATCATCGTTCAGGCTCAGATCCGTGTTGATGAGACTATGATTGGGCAAAATGTTGTCTGAATTGGCATGGCGTGGCAGTTGTGGTCGGGAGTTGGAAGTTGGACGTTGGACGTTGGGGAAGGAATGAAATTAAAGTGTGAAAAGGAAAGAAAATTAAACACAATAAATAAAATGAAATCAATTTAAATCAAAATGAATTGATTGAATTACAAGTGTAAATAGCCATAAACCGATAAAAAATATAAACGAGTATAATTGTATATATATATATATTTGTATTGTATTTATGCACAGTATTTGCATTGTTTGTGTGCTTTGGCAGTAAGTGGGGGGGGGAATGGCACACAAACAAATGCAATTAATTAAAAATTAATCAAAATTGTTTTGTATGCCAGGATAACCAACCAAACCAATTAAATTAATTATGCAAGAGAGCCCATGAGCGCCTACGCATTTTGTCTATAGGTATGCATGTATGTCTGTATGTAGATGTGTGTGTTAAGTGTGTGTTTGTGTGTATGTGTGTGTGTGTGAGTATGTATGACATGCGTTAGAAGCGCCACAAACCCAAAAGAGGGCAAAGCTAGACCATCAAGCTGACCCATAAATGTAACCCGCTCTATGCCACACGGCCACCCACATCCACCCGCACACCTCAGCCCACACACGCACACACACACACATACACATACACAGCACTTGTGTGTGCATGTCTGTGTGCGTGTGCACGTATTAATTGCATTTAGTATTTGTATGCCACATTTTGTACAAAAGCCGCGTGCAGCACCCGCGCATTTAATTATGCTTAGCACTCAATTATTCTTCTTCTTTTTTTTGTGGCTGTATGTGTGTTTGTTTGTTTAATTGCCACCCATGTGGGTGCAGCCTGCACCGCTCCTGCACCACCATGTGGGTGCCAGTTGCTAGTCTTACCATCGACACTATAGCGCTGAGAGGCGTTGCCGGCTGCATTGCCGCCCGATCTCAATTGACAAAACTTAGTTAGCTCGTTGAGCGTGTGAAACGATTTCTGGCGCATGAAAAACCGGCGAACGCAAACAACTGCCCATCGGCAGCTTCTGCGGGGATTTATTGCCCTCGTTGTGGTAACATCTGCAAGAGCATAGCATTAACACAACATCGTACAAACACATACATTCATATAGGGCTTATAATTTTATGGAATTAAGCAGACGGCGAGCCAACTCGGATTGCGCATTTTGCGAATAAATATACTACATACATATGTATTTATTGTTTGGCCGAACCATTAAATTGTTAATATTTATTTAATGGCTTTTATTTTGTTTTCCTCTGTGAACCATTAGCCGATGACCTTGGAGAGAAGGTCAGGCAGTTTAAGTTACTCGTAAGGTTAAAGCTTCAGCTCATTACAAATTTCCAATTCAGAGTACGCGTTTGTATTGGAAAAGCGAATTCGAAAACAATTAGATGTTAATGTGTGCGAGCTAGAAAAAGTTTTGGGAAATTGATCATTTTAAAAGATTACACTAATTTGTTTTTCCAATCTTCATTAAGTTTAAAATTTCTGCAGATTTTCTGTTAATTTTAGTATTTGTGAGCTAATTTATATTCTTTTATCTATAACTGCAGTCTTGCACCTACTTAGGTGTTGGTAGGTAGGTACCTCTTGTTGTTTACTTAGTACTTTGTATCTATAATTGTACATTGCAGATGTAAATTAAAAAAATAAAAATTGAAAAATCCCCGGTGTCTCCAACAAAAAAGAAAAAAACAAAAAGATGGACAGAAAGAGAGTCTTGCTAATTTAAATCTACAAAATATAGATATACAAGTAGCTGCTTTATTCATTAAATAACATAATGTTGATAAGCAGACTTTGTCTCTGTTCCTTACTAATATTTTGTTTTCTAATTTGCAATTTCACAATTTTAATGGTAATTCTTATTTTCGATTCTGTATTAAACCTTTTCATGCAAAAAACTAGTTGATTTATTTCCATTTCATTTGAAATGCAATCCGTCCTCAATTCAGTATTTCCGTATTTTACATTAGCTTTATAATACTATTCCATAAAAGCTAAAGAGGTACCATATGGAAAAATTGTCTTTAGTCAACAAATAATGTGTTCAAGTACCACCTTCATGTTTAATATTATTCTAAAGCTTTGTTCAAAGCACACGCAATTCAATTTATTGGAAATTAGTTTGCTTTATTGCTAAGCAAATCTTCTAGGGAACTCAAGTTTAATTTTGCTTGAGCTCATAAGTATTTCATTAATTAGTTCCTGCCAATCCCAAGTACAAGTACACATACAAGTATGAGCAACATAGCCGCACAAGCAAGAATATTTGTTATGTATGCACATACACTCTACATACTCGTATGCGTGCTAATTAACTGAAGCATTGTGAATGGTCCTGAGAAAGTATGTGCTCAACGAGCTTATTTGCATATTGAATAAAAGGAAAAAGAAATGTCCCAGGAAATGAGCTACGAAGCTTTTTGAATTCAATTTCATATGAAATGCTCTAAAAGAGAGTTAAAAGGAAGCAAGCGGGAGACTGAATGCAATCAGAAACTCTTTTAAAAAGTGTATGTGTTTCTTGGAATGTGCATACTACAAGTATATAGTACATATCCAAATTGTACATTCAATTTCCATTTAACTTAAAGTTCAGCGATAAATTGTAAAGATGTCCCTTATTACTTAGTTTTGATTTATCAGACGCGATGTTTCAACTTATTAATAAGTTAATGGGCAAAACAGACAAACTAGTAATATTCGAAATCAAACATCAGCTTTCTGTTATCAGCAACAAAGCCTTTACTTATCTAAGTATTATTGTTCTAATTATTACCACAAATTTCTATAAAATTTAGAGGTTGACTCCTTCGCAATTTGTAACGATGATAGGCGATGCCATCAGTTAAATAATTCAATGTAGAAAGACACCACTTCACTAGTTTTTAATCTATTTATGAGAGATCTTAATGTAAAGCAAAAGAATCCGCAAGATAACTTATCTTTAGTTACGTAAATCAGCATATTATTTCATATGTTTGGTAAATATACAGAAATAAATTCTTGTTTCGCTCTAAAGCGCTATTGCAGCACTTTCTGTATTATTTTATATTTTTATGAGTTTTTGTTGTGTCTAGTGCTTTGTCTATTGACTATGAGCTGGTAACTGGGATATGGCTGCATTATAAATAATATAAAAAAAGATAACAACCTACGTAGTTCGTGCAATAAACATGTTGAGAACACGGATATTTACTGTTTGTCTGATCGGTTTGTTTGTTAATTTTCACGTAACCGATAATTGGGCATTTGAAAAACAAATGTTTGTCGCACTCCAATCCTAATCAAATAGTTAAAATTGTTCACATTTATTAAACGCTTTATAGCACTTTATATATTATGAAATACCTAATTAAGTTAGAAAGGGTCACTAAGATATTAAGTTATTTTATTTGAAAATGAATTTCTTTCTAGTGCTGCGAGGATTGTTTCTGATTTCGTATATTTAAATGTACAAATATAAATCGTAATAAATCGGTTAGCCAAATTTCAAATTCGGTTGCAGTCACATAGTTTTTCATTAATTTAAATGAAATTAATTAAGTAATAGAATTCGAGCATTCCTATTATATTTAAGTGTGAGTCGCTTTCAGTAAAAAAATGTATTTAAAAAAAATATTAGTTTTCTGTGCTAAATTCTAGCCTCACACTCGGATCACTTTTCGTCCAATAAACAAAATCAAAAACAAGTAAAAAAGCTAAAGTCGGGTGTCCCGACTTCGAAATACTCTGTACATATGTTTACAATAATTATAGAAAATAAAAAAAATTAAGAAAATAAAAAAAAAAATTTGATCGATTTTACCTCTCTCGGTATTCGAACTCACGTAAAGGGTGTATAATTGCACATTTACATAGCAATTGCGTTTGTGTGAGTGTATGTATGCCTATGCGCATCTATTCGTGTCTGTGTAAGCATTTTCGCAGTCAACCAAACAGCAACATCAACAACAGCCGCGGGCAGCGCTTGAGCAGCGCTGCAGCAGCGCTGCATCAGCAAATATATTTATGGCTATAACTTCTTGTTAAATCGGTCTATCATAATGAAATTTGGCATACGGACACATAATAACTAACTGGGGGTATTTCCAAAATTTTAGTTCGAAATTCCAAGAATTACGGGAGTTACGATTTGCGGGGTAGAGGGGGGAGGGAGGGGAATTCCAAAATATACATTTTCTGCGTATTCACATAAGGCAT